TCTGCCCCCACCCCCCTCAGATTTTTTTTTTATTCTTTACTGCCCTTCTTTTCATTGCAATCCAGCCTTTTCCCGGCCCCCAGATTTTTTTACTCTTTTTTTTGTGTCGCCCTTAGTGCAAGTGGAATGCAGCTTGCCCAGTCGGGTGGCTTGGCATGACTTTTAAAATTTGAATAGCTTCAGGCAGACAATATCTGTTTTGCCTACTACTTACTTCCCTATATGTCTAGATGTCTGTAAGTATTTCATGCAAGTGCTTTTTGCTGTGAATGTAGCTCAGAGCTTCTTGTTTTGGTGCAAAGAAGGTCTGTTCTGACAACCCCAATGATGTTGAAACGCTAAAGGAAGAAAAGCTTGGAATTTGTAAGGGTTCACTTTGGTTTCTGATTTTTAGGCAAAATAATTAGAACGCTGGTTGCTATTGATGGGGGAAATAGGATAAATATAGCTACAGAGTAAATAAGGCTTTCTAAACTCAAATATTTATTGTAATGTCTTTTGTTTTCTTCATTACCCCAACTTCCCTCTACAGTACTTTATACATTAGTGCAAAGCGTAATGCTTTTGTTTTTTCATCTAGCTTAATAACTTTTTAGTGTTGCTGCTTTCACAATTTGCTAATGAACGTTTCTAAATTATACAGTAACTGGTTTTATTCATTCAAGGGATGGAGCTGTTTTTCCTTTTTTGTAGAATATGAAAGTATATTGCGAACATGTATGTAAGTTTGGCTTCATTCTACGCTCATCAAAAAAACAAAATATTGCAACCTTACTTACTCGTTACTCTTAACTAGATGCGTCTTTACTCAAATTTATCGCCCCCCCCCCTTCATGGCACTTGCGTTGTATTTAAAGAACTCTTAGTATTTACCTGTATCCTTCAGGCCTGTAGGGATAATTGATTCGACTCAGTTCAAGTAAGCTTTATTTTATTTTATACTGTTTAGTCACGTATCTAAACTTCTTTTTAATCAAAGCATTCATTCAAAGTACTCTATATCAGCATTGAATTATTTTCGATCTTGTTATGAAACAAATGACTACTATTCAACATATTTATTGCCATCAACAGGTCAGTTTTATCGTTTTTTAAGATAGGCATTGATATTTAGTTAGGTTTGTAAGTGTAGTTCGAAAGAATGATGTCGCACGTATTTTTAGTCGGTACATGATATCTCTGCCTCCGCAATAATCAGCAGTAGAAGGGACGTATTTGACCGGAAATCAATTGAATATATAATTAAAAATTCACATTTTAACAATGTACTTCTATTGAATACAATTATATGTATAAGAAATAAAAAAGAGGACGCACCATGAAATCCGTAACAATTTAATAATAATTAGTTGTTTTGGGGCAAATATGCAGGGAACAAACAAGAAATTTGGCTGTTTAACGAACGGAAATTTACAACTCTTGTACGGTTGACGACAGAAGCTGCTAAATAACTAACAATAAAGTTGTACGTTTTACGAAAAAGCCTGGTTGAAAAGCAGACTCGTCAATTTATACGTTTTTTTAACAGAGTTGTACACAAAGCGTTGATGCCAGCTATTTCTCAAACAACTATTTGGCAGTAGCACTTGTTGATTTTGTCAACAAGTTTTCCGCCATAGTGCAACGAACAAAGAGAGACGTGAATGGGTAGAAACATGTTCAAAAAAAAAAAAAATATGAGCTACACTGATAATTGTATTTTTATTGATGAGAGCGCATTCGACATTAACATAAAATCGCCTACAACAGGATCAACTCGAGGTACTCTTGCCATAGTAACAAGTCCTTCTGCACGAGCAATCAGGCATACAATTCTAGGAGCAATTTCAACACAAAATTATTAATTTGGAAATTCGTGTTCCCTTTACGCTAAAAAGACTAAAAGTCGTGGAAGCCCAGAAATGAAAGGCAACTGCTGTAAAAGCAAAAACACCTGGAAGAACAAACGCAGGTCATTATACCAACTTTATCCATAAAGAAAAAAAAAACCATGGATGAAATGGACAAGCATTCCCGGTTTAAACGGTCTTACATAATGACGGATAATTCCCCAATTCATGGAAAAAGCGATAATTTCAGCCAATGAGGATACAAATGTATTTGCCTTTCTCCTTATTCTCCTGAGCTTAATTTTATTGAGTAATTCTGGGCAATTGTTATGCTTTAGAAGGCCTTGAAATCGTTTCCTTTCTTTAATTCCACAAGTTTTTCTAAGGTTGGCACATTTGGACCCTGTACAAAAAATGGGTTGTTCATGGTTGTTCGAAATGAATTAAAACGAGAAAAAAAAAAGAGCTTTCCATGATTTCAGAAGGCTGTGTGATACCCTGTGACTGGATTCTTTCCAAGCCTGGGGTGCGCGTTGACACTGTCCTCTTCCTTATTTTCTTCTTTCCCACAAACACGCAACAAATGCTGTATTAAACTTTCCTCATGACATGCCACCCTTGAATGCAGATTACCAAGTAATTATGCCAACAAGGGGCTTGGTCTTTATTTTATTCTAAGCTTTGCACCGAATCTATAAAGTTTTAAAATATCGACACCGCCCACCAGCTACCAGCTACAAAGTCTTGGTTTCGATCGAGACATGCTTTGAATCCGTATCAGTGTGGCTTTTAAAATCGTCTTTTGCAGAATTTTTGTAAATCAGAACAGTGGATCAAAGCAGCGTGTCATTGGATTCACTACCTTGAAAGTGAGATCAGAAAATGTTTAATTTTAACAACCAACAGATTCTCATGATAGAGAACCCGTCCTTTGGGAAATAAAACTGGACATCAATTTGGAATTGACGATAATTGCCATATGTTATCCGTAGACGATAAAGGTGGTAGTGACGAAATTGCACTGGGGATTATGAAGAATTGAACGACGTCTTTTCTATTACAATAGCTATAATCGACAAAAAACAGCAGAAAGCAGCATTAAAGACAAAGTCAAAAAGTATTAGTCAGATCAAAAAGTATTAGTCAGATCAAAAATACAGATAGAAATGATAGCAAATAGTGGATCTGTGTTGCAAAAAGAAACATTTTTTGGTGTACAGGAAAAAAGAGTTATCTCATGGATAATGTGTTAGAAAGGTGATGGGGTATCAACATAAATAAAAGTCGACAGCTATTGTAAGTCTGTTTCACAATGTTTAGATAATTAATGAGAGTGAATATTTATTCGAGGATATAAAAGACTTGTTTAATGTTTCTGTGTGAAGATGGGACACCTATAGGGCGCGAGATAGATCATTTAATATGTGGCATCTGAATGTGTACGGACAGCTCTTTCTTTGCTAAAATCTAGCAATTGGCACGTCTTATCATCATCAACTCAAAAGGGAGCAGGATATATGAGTGCAAAAGAGGTGGGGAGAGTTAGTTTTTTGTCTCTTTATATCAGAGCTGTACCTCTGCGCTGGCCTTGTGCTAAAGAGGAGTATATTTGATAGGGGACAATACAAGCTTTTCCTTTCGACACTGAACCCATATTTCTTTATTTATTTGGAGAACTGTAGGGTGGGTCAAATGTAAAGCAGGTTTTTATTTTTACAAAAAAGAAATCTTTATTTATAAAAGCTTACACTAAATGTTGTGTAGACAGCTGCGTCCTGACTTTGCGAAGATAAAAATATGAAATTACTGCTTCTGTTGCAGCCGTTGTCATCTGATCCTTCTATTATCAGCCCTAAAAGCCTGTACTCTTTTTTTTTTTTTTTTTTTTTTTTTTTTTTGAAAAAAATAGAGAATAATCAATACTGTTCATAAAGAAATAATTCCACTCCCTCGTTTAGGTATAAAAATAAGTAACATATGGACAGACTTTTTTCAATTATTCTTTCGCAATTGTTTTGTAACTATGAGTGATCCAACAATCCAAACATTTTCCAGCAATTTCTAGCAGTCTTGACGGCCGTAATCAATGAAGACAATAATGTTGATAGGGTACCATACTAAATGTAGTGGAGGCCATTGCATCTTCAATTACAGTGTTATCTCTTTAAATTCAGACAAAGGGGGTATTTTTTTTTTTCGAACAAACTATGAAATTTTTGCAGAAAGATGCAAATATATTCCGGACAGCAGTAAAGTGGTATTCAGACAAAGACTTGAATGATGTTCATAAGATACATACCCAGATCCCATTTAAGATGTCTTCTTCATCGGGAGTGTCACAAGGCATCAAAAGTGAAAGTCATATTTATTTCGACCAGCGCTTCAAAATTGGCACATACACTTTTGCGCAGACATTGAAAAAGGCTTTCATAATTAAAAGTCTGAACATTAGAAGTTTAGTAATAATCGCTTATTAAAATATTGTATCAAGATCCCATTAAGCGGGCAAAGTGAGGATACAAATATGAGGATTTAGGGGGGTGTATTCGTAAAACTTAAAGCCTCATAAGGTGAAAATTAAAAAAAAGGGTGAAGGGTTTTTTTGCAAATAGTTAAAAATTTAATTGATATATAGAAAGAGAATTCCTTAAATGCAACATTGCTCGCCAGGCTTTTATATTGAAGATTACCCCAAATGCCATATTACATCTTGTTTAAGTTTAAATTTTATTGTTTTAAACAGTTTAGGGGAATAGTAATGTTGACATGCCTTACGCATTTGACAATGACGAGAACAGAAAAATAAAGACATATGTCCTCGTTAACTGCCTTCAATACTAAAGATGCTTAGTTCTTCATAAAATGAGCACCTGTTATTTTACAATTAGTTTCAGTTTGAGATGTTTTCAGCTTTATTCAGGAAAGAAACAATCATAAAGCAAAAGTTGCAAAAGTGGCAGGAGGAGCAACTGATAGGTGGTAATCGGATTAACTAACCTTGATTTATAAATTTGAATATAATAGTTTTAATTTCATATACCCGTATGTCGATATGTGTATGATTAAAAAGGGATTTATTAATGTACACATTAGGTACGTCTTTTTTAAAAAGTACTAATTTCTATTCAATGGTGTAAAGCATGCTTATTCAATGGTGTAAAGCATGCTTATTCAATTTTGTAAAGCATGGTTTACAACAGCATCCCTCCATTTCAACATGTTGGGAACCTCTTCGACATACTTTAAGAGACTTCTTGCAGTTGTTGGACACTCGAATTTGCTGTGTTCGCAACGGATATAGTTATCATTGTGCAAGATAAAGTCTCGAATATAGGGGATACAGCAAAAGAAGCTTCTCGAAATAAATGTACGAATCTATAGAACTGCAAATTAGGTAAAGTGACATAAATTAACAGTAAATACCAGATACTTTACTGAAGAACCTAACTGCAAAGACTTGCTTTTTCTGCTCCTCTGGTATATTTTCAATAACTTTGACCATGTTATTGTATAGCTTGGTAATATCATGTTTTTCCTTGGCCTGAGTGTTATTTGAATTAATACCGCCTGAAAACTCTACTAATGAAATCGACAGCCTTTGATCCTTAACCGATACGATAACGCCGTCCCACTTTCTTTTCTTGGTTGTACAGTGTTCTTTTTCGATCCAATATAAAGCTAATACATCATTGAATGATATGAATAGCTGATTTAGGACGATCGTGGTGGTGTGTATTGCTGTTGTTCGTCCGTTGATGCTGCCTAGAAGAGGATTTCTTGGGCTTTCAACCAGCTATCAGGGACATCACCACCTCCGAGCATTAAATCACCACCAAGAATCACCACCACCAAGAATCACCACCACCAAGAATCACCACCACCAAGAATCACCACCACCAAGCATCACCACCACCAAGCATCACCACCACCAAGCATCACCACCACCAAGCATCACCACCATACTTAAACCACGGATCATGTCTTTTTACGATCGCAGGATAAAGTATCAAATATAGAGGATACAGTAACAATTGTAAGAGGAAAGATAGACCAGGCTAAATTAAAGCAAGAGTATTTTGGTTAGATAATAATGCAGGAGGATATTGTTACAATATATTTACAAATGTCTTGTTGTGGTTTCGATAAACCCGAAGTCCGCGTGTTCAAATAAATCGAAGTCGACTGGGTTTCCATGGGTTCGTAACACAGATCGGATATGTTTGGTGGAAGGTAATGTGACCTTAAATGCATTAATGATTGTTTGGGCATGCTTGGACAGCGTTACATCATCCAGAGATGATGCTTTGATAATCGCGTCATACTCATCAGCCTCCTTTAACATGCTAACGACACTATCCGCAGTAAGGTCAATTATTCCGACATGGCCAACACTTTTTTTTTTGAATAACTAAATTAGTGAAATTTAGGTTTGGTTTCAAACATCATATATTACCTGTCGGTGCAAACCTCGGATGAATTTTTTAGTATCATATTGATTCAATTATCATGTGATAGCCTGAACTTCGGTTACTTTAAGCATAAGCGAGTTTGTTAAAAAGAGAGTAACTTACAATAATTGAATCAAGTCCGGTCAGAAAAAGACTATCGAGGGAGCTTTTATAAAAAAACGCAATCGAGCGAGCTTTTATACAAGACGCGAATGAGGGAGCTTCTATAAAAGACGCGATCGAGTGAGCTTTCATAAAAAAAGACAGTCGAACGAGCTTTTATAAAAAAAACGCGATCGAGAGTTCCAATCTTCATTCCGATCGCTAACAAACACGCCAACGAAAGCGCATCTGAAAGTACTGTCAAACATCTAAGTTTTTTTTTTTTTTTTGTATAATTTTTAGTTTCTTGGAAAAACCAGAAGTGGTATCAACGAACCTTTTTACAGTATTTACAATAAAAAAATGAAGAGAAGAAGGAACGAAATGAATAAGAGAAGGAGTGAATAAGTGAAGGAGTGGATAAGTGAAGGAGTGGATAAGTGAAGGAGTGGATAAGTGAAGGAGTGGATAAGTGAAGGAGTGGATAAGTGAAGGAGTGTATAAGTGAAGGATTGAATAAGTGAAGGAGTGAACAAGTGAAGGAGGGAGAAAAAAGTGTGTAAACGAGCTATATATAATGACTGGTTTATGTCAGGATGACTTAATCAAAAAGTGTGTGAACGAGCTTTATTTGTGAATTGATAAACAAGATCTGGGTTATGTCAGGATGATTTAATTATACATAATGTTTGAGCCTTTACTAATAATAGAAATATCTGCAAAATATCCCAAGCAAGTCGGAAACTGGTAATTGTCGATCAGCGTTTCAGCCATAATACAGTACAAGATGGGAGATCAAACATCGTAAACTTCTTAAAAAAAAAGCTTCGTGTAGATTTACCCACAAAAAAAAATCAGGAAGTAGGTGTAGAGGATGTGTTAGGAAAACTTTGTATACTTGCAGGTAAAAGTATACATCATGACAGGTTATACTTATAAGACACAAGGTTTCTGAGTAATCAGTTTACAAACAAATTAGGCCATGCCTTTAAGACATACATGATTACGATAAATATTGACCTCAGGTGATACACATCATACTGTTAGCCTCGCTCCAATTTTATTGGATCTATCAATTAGGAATGATTGGCGTTCTGTAAGAAACATTAACTATAGAATTGTTGGGACTTTTAAGAAAGGGACAAAAAGGAAAGTAGAGCGGTTATTATTAAAATCCTTCTTCGATGAGATGGTATGTGAATCAACATTAAATAAGTAATATAATGTGCAACGGGATCCTTTACAAGTTAAGGTTTCTAATGAAATGGTTTAATGCACATAAAATGAAAAAATTATGTAAAAAAATGTATGTTGAAGCCCTTTAATTGACTGATTATGTAACAAACAAAATTCATGAGAATGAGGAAAAGCTACCAAATAATTCTGATCGACTAGTGTTGAAAGTATAAAGTATCAAAGAAAGGTGAACATAGAATTCTGTCGAATTCGCTTTTTATGGAGTGGAGCCTGCTGCTTAATTTGATTCAACACGAGACAACGCATTAGGTCCAGAATTTGTTTTTATTTGTATTGAAAGGTATTGAGGATAAAGCTGGATGAGTTTGATGCTGTTATGGAGAAGTTAGTATGACCCTTTGATTTTTTAAAGGACAGAAACCTTACAAGCGGGGATATATATCTAATATGTCATGGTCTTTTTCAATAGTGTTATAACAGATAGACGCCGCTGATATATCTGGACCCCTTCTGTTTATTCGGGAGTGCAACATATTTGATCGCGAGATGAAACGACAATAGATCAAGACGGTGTGTCATGATAGCAGAACCCTTAGGATGTAACAATAAAGATAATCACTGCTCCCTGGATCATAGTAAGCTTCTTGAGAAATCTAATCGGCTCCAATATCAGAACGCATCTTACACACCTCTCCTGCTTGTGACAGTATCAGTACAATTCTTTCTCGGACGCATCGCAGAGCATCCTTTCCATGGGTAGCTAAAACATTAAGAGAACTATTAGCAATTGATTTCTCATTTTTATATTCTTGATTTTGCTGGATAGGTAGAATAAAGACGTAATTAGTCAATGGCCAGTTTAGATAAAGGTTAAAATGTATCACTGCAGAATTATACCATTGACTTTAAAAAACATCTATCTCTCCATTGCTGCTTATAAAAGTATCAGTACAGGTCTTTTGTATAGTATTGCGGGTGACTATTCTTCAACTAAGGCAAATAAAGTTTTTTTATATGGCAATTATGTAACTATAAAAATGATTGAGATTAATGTGAGGATGAAGCGAATGCAGTGATAAGGAGTATTTGTTAGGAATTTTCATGTCGAGATGTCAATGCACAGGTGGAATATGTGTGTAAATCCATCACCTTTTCGTGTAGATTCAATGATGGTTGAGCTAGTTTAAATTTTTAGACAGCTTTCTATGAGCGACAATTATCATGCAAAATATAGCCCGTGCATGAATAGACCGTAAAAAAAAAAATTTCCCTTCAAAGTCTTACTTGTTACATACTCTTCTCGCCACTCCAACTGTCACTACAATGTGGCTGTATACTTTGATTGTGCTCTCTTTTTTGTTATAATATGTACCATGGGTCACCAATATTTCAGCTGTTAAAACCAACCTTTATTTGCACATTTGATCCGCCATGTCTCCCTCAGTAAGCTTTGATGGACTGTGGTTACTCTTATTTTTTTTTTGTCACTTATGAAACTCCCCTTGGACATACATGTTCAAAGATACATTCTAGTCTCTGTGAAGTACATACAATTTTCTTTTTTTTTCTTTTTGGATTAACTACAAAATGAGTTTCTCATCACAGCGAAAGCTCGACTTGTTTTCACGGCGATAACTATCAATCCATGCTTTGTATCGGTATACCTTACTTGTGAATAATAGGGTATAACACCTGTAGCCATGAATGAATCAACTCTTCTTTAGACATTAGTTGTATTTTCGGAGCAGTAGATTCGATAGATTTCATTCGAAATAAAGAGGGGAGGTACTATTATGATGTTCGTATCTTGACATATTTAACATGATCTGCTGAGCATAGCACTTGTTTTTGATCAATTACTTTTTATATGCATTTTTTTTTTCATCAAAGGGCCTCAAGTTAACTTGCATGAATTACATCAGATTTGACGAGATAATCATCATCAACTATAAAGGGTGTGACAACTATCACGTCACTTTTTATAGATGATGTATTGTGGTGCAAAAGTATTCAGTAGTACCATTTTTTTTTTGTGTTCAGTCAGAGGATGAAAAATTGCATCATTTGAAGAAGAAAAAGGTGTTTACTGCTTACTTGACAAGATGATTCGAAACGTATTGTCAGAGGCAAGTGATAAAATCACCTTGTTTTTTTGAATAGCGTAAATAGGATTTGGGAGGCCCCTAACAAAAAGGATGTTCTTTTTTTTATAGATAAGGATGATGAACAAAGCATTCGTTTACGTTTTTATACACCGTGCACACCTTGAAATGTTTAAAAAGAAGTACCATATAGTATAGACAAAAGAAAGTTAATCCGGATCCATCATGTTAAAAGAGTGGGTGTGCATTGTTCACATTGATTTTTATATAATTTTTTTTTTTTTTTTAGATGATGGAAACTGTGATTTAAATCCATATTTTTTTTTTTTTTTGCATAATGTCCATGTTACACACACACACGAAAAGGGGGGGGGGTATTGTTTTGCAGAGGGGAAGAAATTAGGAATCCCTGACACTGTTCCCTGGCTCTGTTATTGAATCTGATGCAGATGTAGAAGCATTAGTAGCATCCGCTTGACTACTGTTTTGAATAGCTTCTTTTCGTTCGTTTTCTTCTTGCTCAGCCAGTGAGATACGAATTGCTTCCATGACCATCCAATCTTCCAGATCCATATTGACATCTCTTATATTTGTAATGAATTGATTGTATTCGGTAGCAGCAGCGGAAGAAGCAGAGCGTCCCGGACGTTGTGTTAACATACCTAATCCCGTTCGTAGTAATCTCGAGTTTCCTGCTGAAGCTGAATTGCGTCGTGATACAGTACGTACAGCCGGTGGTATTAAAGTTTTCCAATTAGGTCGAATGTGATCTACAACTCCGCACCGAAAATATTCGACACTTTTCACAAAAATTTGAGTTCCTTTAGTCATGCATTTTTTTAAAACCAAAAACTTGTTAATAAAAGGTATCTCAAATTCTACCAAACTTGACAAAATAGCAATATATATATATATTTTGTAAAAAGAAACTTTTTTATTTACGTTAATAAGTGGTATTTGAGCCACGAGCTTTTTTTACTGCCCGGCATCTATCGGGCATACTTTCTACAAGCTTATGACACACTTCATCCCCCAACAACTTCCATTCCTGATGAAGTGCAACCTCCAATTCATTAAGATTTTGAAGCTGGGCTCTTCTTTTAGCAATCCTTTGTCCCAGGAGGCGCCAAAGGTTCTCAATCGGATTCAAATCGGGACTTTGAGCGGGCCATCGCTCAAAGCCTGCAATCCCAGCCTTCTCTTTCCACCACCTCGTATATCCTCCTGTATGGCATGGGGCACCGTCTTCTTGGAAAATAAAGTCATGACCATATTTCTCTGTCAATTGTTCAAGCCAAGGGAGAAAGTTTTGACTTAAACAATTGACATATTTTTCTTGATCGACAGACCCTTTTAGTGTCACCAAAGGGCCCAAACCGCCTGCCCAAAAACATCCCCATACCATCACTGATCCCTTACCAAATTTAAATGTTGGTAAAACAAATCTATCCATATACCTTTCACCCTTCTTTCTAATAACTCTCACACCACCGTCGTTGTGCCTGAGTGCGAATCGCGACTCATCGGACCAGATTACCTTCTTCCAGTCATCTAATGTCCAATTCATCTTGTCGTCGACCCATTCTCTTCGCGTTTTTTTATGTCTAAGACTCAAAAACGGTTTTTTGGAAGGTCTGCAAGAATAAAAACCGTTTTTGCGAAGTGCATTCCTCAATGTCGTCAGGCTGATTGGATCGGTAGCCTTCGCAAGATTTTGCATATGAACACTTAAAGGTTCAAAGGAGTCCCTTCGAACTAAAAGCGTCAGGTGATGCTCAGCTCTTGCTGTCAGCTTTGCTGGTCTTCCTGGACGAGGTTGGACAGTCGTGATCCCTTCAGTTCGATACTTTTTTATAATCGTAACAACGGTTGTTCTAGGAACGCCCAATTCTTTGCTGATTTGGGTACCTGTCCATTTGGCATGCTCTGCCAAACCGCAAATGACTCCACGATCGAAATCTGAAAGTTCCTTGCTTTTTCTAGAGACTTTGTTAGTAATGTCAGTAAGTGGCATGATAAATTGTGTAATAAAATATGAAAGAATCGTTGAACGAAGAAAGAGTAGGTTTATTTATTTTTTTGGCTCAAAACGGAAGTGTCGAATATTTTATGTGCGGAGTTGTATATTGTAAAGATTAGCCCTTTTTCTATTTCACACACAAAAAAAAAAAAAAAAAAAAATTACCAATGAGTACGACATCAGGGTTTTTGTGAGATACACTTTCTCGTCTTGGACCATCTTCACTTACACCCGAGGTCGTATGTCGAGTACCTGTCATAGTACTATGGGATCCACTTCTTGAGCGAGCCTAGAATGGGTATTAATTTATCAAGAAAAGCAGACATGGGCTGTTAGATGATGATGGATAGCACTTACCTGGAATTTCTCACTCCAGGTGGGTGGTTCGTAGAGGACACCATAATTCTCTTGCATACAAAATGGACATGTTGCTGGTAACAATGGGGTTTCCAAGGGTCTATGAATCTGAACGAAGCATTCGGTGCAAATGGGCTGATCACAGCAACGAGAGTAATTGATATTGGCGGGATAATACTAAAGAAAAGAAAAAAAAATAGAGAGAGAAAGACTAAGTTATATATCTATATATTGAACTCGGACCAGAAATAATGATATAAAAAAAAAAACGTACCAGGAAGCAAATGGGACATTCGACAGCATCGTTATACAACATTTTTTCTCGCTGCTTCATTTTTTCGACAAATAGCTTCTTCTTGTCAGCTACAGGGTCGACATGACGACTGGAAGAGGAAGCGCTACGAGGTCGTGTGATTCTTTTGGGTGAGTCAATGGAGATGGTAGACAAAGAGGAAGAGGACTGTGGTAAAGGAGGAGGTGAGAGTGTCTTTCGAGTGGGTGTTGTTAGTGGAGACAATGTTACTGTTTCTGGTGCATCCTCTAAACCTAAAATTCATGTATAAGCAACATTAGCTCCATGGATGCTTTTTTTAACCACTCATATTTTTATTTTTTAATTATTTACCCTTGTAGAATGGTGCTATCTTGCGTGCTATAATTAAGCTTCTTGTGACTTTGGGGTCATAGTCTTGTTGTGTAGTGGTTGTATATAATCCATTCGGTAAAACTGCACCCAAGTCTACTAAATCTTCAATCTTTTGTTGTTGGATACGACCTGATTTCGATGACTTTCCTACACTCTTTGACGCGTTGGCACCCATGGCTTTTTGTTGTATGTAATTTAATAGATAAGAGAAAAGAAAAAAAGAAAAAAAGAAAGAAAAAAAAAAAAAAGCGGGAAAATAAGAGAGGCAGAGAGGGAGAAAGGGCTAATAATTGTAACTCAGTAGGGGAAAATCGGATGTTTTATTTTTTTATGCTTTTTTTGATGAAAAGACGTCAATGATGGCATTGGGTGGAGCACTGCCTTGAATATCTGTCAATGCACCGTCTAAAATGTATGTATAAGGTCCTGATTTACGGTGTTCGTTCATTTCATATGCCACTGTTAAATTACATCCTATCAATCAAATACCGAGGTTAGTCCTTTTGTGTGTGTGTGTGTGTGTCATCAGTTTATTCTTCTTCTTACTAGGACAATGGTATCTAAATTGCTTTTCGTATCCATCGCGTCTATTATCGTCACAGAATAAAAAAAAAAAAGAGAGTTAATAAACAGCATAAACAAACCCACATGGGACCATGTACCTCTTTAACAAGACGCAATCGTCTGCTTCTGCTGTAAGTTTATAGGTACGTCTAATGTTGGAGACAATAACGGCATTATCTGTTCTCCTTCTTGGTAATTGTCGCAAGTCGGCATCGATCACCAGTAAAAACTCGGAACATAGACAGTAATACACATGCAGTGATTTAGCAGAATCGTTTTGTGTTGCATGGTCCGATGACGACACCACGGATGAAGAGACAATCTTTGGCATTGTTTTAAAAAATAAAATAAGAAACGTATTTTTTTTTTTTTTTTTTTTGTCTGTGTGTGTGTGTATATGTGTGTGTGTGTGCGGGCGGGTTCCGGGAAAACCTTTCCTGTATGTGACTTGGGTTTAAAATAGATAACGTCATGATTTTAAGCTTTTTTTTCATTGTTTGGCCCTGAAACAAATTATAAAAACTCACCGTACTTCTTTTTTTTTTGGGGTTTCTCTTTTTTTTTTTTCTGTATACATATACATATTTTTTTACTATTCTTACTGTAATATATAAAATGGATTATACACCTAAACAGTTACATTATTTTAAACGAGAGTTGATTACACTGCAACTAGAAAAGGAAATCAACAAATTGATTGCTAGCCCGGATCTTTCTTCTTTACTCGACACGCCTACAGGAGATACGGAGTTTCCTTTCCTTCGCTACATCTTTCATAATATCATCATTGAGTTCCCACTTCTCAAGCATACCTGTGATGATCAGTTTTGGCCTAAATGTAAGCTCTTCTTGAACGAGTTTGGAAAGGTGGGATTGGATGGATATCATGCACCTCGACACACGCAAGGTGCATTACAACGTAAAGCAGTCAAACACAAGATCCAAAAATCGCTCGTCTTTGCTTTTTGTGCCAGCATCAAGACCTTTCAAGGTGCAGAAGAGAGTATGAAGGTCACCACACCACCACCACCACCACTAGTACAGGAAGGAACAACAGAGACAAAATCATCGTCCTCCTCATCAACAATCAAGATCAATATTGTGACGGTAAGACAAGTCAAGGAAAAAAAGACGTTGCGCGAGATATCACATGCCGAATTCTTGATAGAAACCGTTTTTCCTAACAACCACAACAATGATGATGAACCCGTGTATGTAGCACGACGTCATGGTGATTTTCGTCGTTTACGGGAAAGTTTACGACAGGAGTTTAAACAATTGGATATTCCACCTGTACCATCCAAAGCTCATACAACGGACTCAAAAGGCTCTGGGTATCGTGAACATGATCGACTTCTTTTACGTACTTGGTTACATCAACTCGTGGGTGAAAAGGATGCTACCAGTCCATCACAGCACTTGATCTCTCAATCGTCACAAAGCTTGCGTCAATTTTTGACGGATAATCCCATCACTTTCACAATGGCTGAGGAACAGGATACATTGGAAAGAGAGAAATCAGATCAACAACGTTGGTTGCAACAACAGGATGCACAAAGGGAATTAGATCGTCGTGTGTTGGAATTAGATGATACTTTGGATGTGCTTAAAAAGCAAATCCTACAACCTGGTGGTCTCATTGGTATCTTTAACACCATCAAGTCTACATCTCAAGTGGTTGATTTACCTCCTTCTTTAAAAAAGGCCTTTGAATGGGGTCGTATCAAGTGAGTTTTTTTTTTTTTTTTTTTTTGAGTAAACTAAACTAAACTGACCTTATTGTATTTCCAATGTAGCTTTGCGTTTGCGTTACATCGTCAATTTTTAACCTCAGATATAGCAGCTGAAAATTACAACAATTTACGTCGTACACATGGCTTAATGCCTTATCGCACCATGTCCGTCATTTTAAGGTTCTCAAATCCGATGTTTATGGTCAAGAGCATTTTGGATTTATTCTTGGCACAACCCTTTGGAGGTCGCAGTTTATTTCAACGCTTAATTATCTCTAATATGAATGAAGAATCCAAAGCCTTTCAAAAGGATATCGAGATCCTCGAAAAGAAGATTGGAGACAAGACTGTGTGTAAGAAACTGTTTAATGCAGTACGTACACCCTTGGTATCTGCGGGAGACAAGAGTGAGTTGTCAGGTTGGATGGAAGTCTTGGCCTTACTTGAGAATAATGAGATTGAACCTGTACTGTCTGCAGAACAAATTGGAGTCATTATCAGCAAACGAAAGGCCAAATGGATGAAGCGTTGTTCTAGACTATGGGAATTATATGCACGTGTGTATGAACAAGAATTAATGATGAATTTAGTGTTTCAAGGTGTGACGGGAGATCTACTCAAGGAATTCATTGCGGTATTCTACCAACCTTTAGCAGAAGTGTACAAGGCTGCAGATATTGGTACTACCTTACGTCATGTCTCTGATTTCCTGGATGATTTAATTCTTGTCATTGATGGATTAAAAGGAAAAGAAGGAGAGGTGTCAGATACAGTACAAGCCTTTGTGGATTTGGTCGCACGTCATGAACAACATTTTTATGCGTTTGTACATAATGTTCATAGCCAAGAAGCGTCCAAAGTATTTGATGAATTGATCCATTATGTGGATGGATTGTTTACATTTATGGCACAAGGTATACCCGGTAAAATCGATATGAATCATGGTGTGGAAAAAGCGGGTTTTACCAGGCCAAAAGAAATCGAGTTATTAGAGTATGAAATTGATGCCATTTGTGAATATCGATATAAGCAAAAGATGTATCGATTTGAACGAACCAAACGCAAGCTCATGATGCAACAAGAACAAGTGACTGGAGATGGATTATTATCTATTCGTGAACAAGAAGAAAAGGAGATGCATGATCAAGTGTTTCAATATATACCCAAAAGCAGTGAAATGATGAATGCCATTCAAGATTATCACGACTTTGATGATGATGATGAAGAAGAAGATGAAGAAGGAGAAAAGAGAGAGAATAGTGGTAGTGAGAGTGATTCAGATGCAGAGTCTTCTATTCCTTCCAGAAGAAGTAGTAAAAGCAGTGGTAGTCATGTCTCTCATGCAGGTATCGATAAGCCTGTACTTACACTCCTACCTCAAATCGTACCTTATTTTGTAGACGATGTTATTGCCATGATGAGCATAAAAAAGATGTAAATTTTTATTTATTTTTTTGATTAAACAATAAAAAAAAATAGAAGGAGCTTTACCACCCTCGTGTGCCTGATTTATCAGCACCACGAATTAATAAATCTCGCAAGACTTGCCATCTCTTTTCACATGTAGTTGCGGAATGTTTGCCACGTAGTTTTAATGCAGCTTCTTGCCATCGACAACCACTAAGTCTTGTCAAGACATGAGCCATTAATATCTTATCATCCTCTACCGTCCATGATTCAAACCCTCGAATGGTTTCATAGTTTTGTTGTGTGGGTGATGAAGAGGAAGAGTCTGTGAGAGGAGGAGAATGTATCGCCTCTCTTTGTTGTCTGTCATTGTTGTTGTTGTAAGGTAATAAAGAGTCGCGTGGTGGTGTGGGTGGACGCCAATTATCAGGTTGCACGAATAATGCCGACTAAACAACAAAATAAGTTATATATCACAAAGGAGATTTAATTAGATATTCTATATATTTATTTATTACCTCTTCAGCGTGTTGTGCTTTGTTCAGCACATAGGCAATCAGGTCTTTGGCACTAGGTCGTCTTGCCTTAATCTTTTCTTTTAGTGTCACTGGCTATAAATAAAAAGATGCATTAATAAAAGGATGTATTGTAGTATAAATAGAACATTAATAGCTCACGGGTAATTCATCCTCACTATCAATCAAATTCCCTTCCTCGTCATACTCCACCACGGGTTTTGATTTGGCTACCAGAAAAAGAAAAAAGATTATGAATACGGAAAGTTTTTTAGAAGGTCCTCTTTCTATTCATTGTTACCCTTTTGTGACATTTTAGTGGGAATGGAAGGAGACCCGGTCTTTTGAAAATTTAAAATGATGCGACGTACACTAGGTTGACTTAATCCACACATGCGTGCAATCTTTTTATGATTCGCACCTGCTTGATGAGCACCTATAATTAACCAACGTTTCGCATCATTTTTTTCTACACTAGAGATATCGTTGCCGTGCATAATATTGTTATTATTATTATTTTTTTAGTAGAGAAACAACAACAACAACAAAAGAGAGAGAGAGAGAAAGAGTGTGTGAGTGTGGAGAGGAAGGGAGTTTTAAATTTTTATAAATGTACCCAGATAAAGCCCAATAGAGAACGAGCATAAACGTCATTCAGAGGTTTTTTTTATTTTCTTTTGCTGTACCTTTTTTTTTTTTTTTAATTTTTTTTTTTTTTTAAAAATCTGTAGAGATCACACACAGAACACACGTACTCTATTTACAAAAATTGGGATGGTGGTGGTGGTGGTGGTGATGTGCTTGTGTGTTGTAATAGTGGTGGGTGCGGGGAGGAATCAAAAAAATTTAGGTCTTATCAGGTCTTGCAACAACAGTTTCAAGCTTATCACCCAACTTGATAAAAGTATGACGTAAAACACGAGTATCAACTAAAAGCTTCTTTCCGAGTTCTTGAACAATAAGAGGATTAGCATCAAAGTGCATAGCCCAATATCTATTTATGTATTAGTCACAATCTATCAAAAAAAAAACGTATCATTCAATTAAGTCTACCTTCCATCAGTAAAGTATTCTTGATGTCTCTTGATGCGATGAGGGATCTTCATGTCTCCCCAGTTATCGAAACCACGTACAACACCACCACGATTAAGCACTTGCTTTGCAGATGTCTTTAAAAGATCTTTCAAATTGCTCTATTGATCTTGTTAGTCATCTTTGTCCCCTCATTCTTCCATTGGCTCTCCAAGTTACCTCGACAATGTTATGACGTGCAATACAAACAAGTTCGTAAAAAGGCATCGTTGGAATTCTAGTGTTGAAAGGGTTTAACAATAAAAAAAGAAGAACGAAAAAAAAAAAAAAACCTTGTCCCCTTGACAGTTTCCCCGGGGGGTGTGCGCAAGAGGGTAGAAAAAGAACAGTCCTTATTTGCACCACACACATTCTGTCTTGGTTTTGTCAAATGCAGATGTTTTATAAGCTACCCCTTTTTTAAATGAATTAACATTTAGATATTAAACTTGTATGGTTCTCGGGTTAAAATAATGTGTGCTAATGATAAAGTATCCTTTAAAACGATCATTCAGCTTTTTGATGTAAATCTTTTTTTTTTTTTTAAACTGCAGACAACCATAAAATGCTTAAGAGAAAATATTATGCTTTAAAAATTGTTGTGGATTTTGATAAATAAAGAAACAACGAATGAACAGCTGTATCCAATGCTACTATAAAACAGTGCGCAAGCATTTAAACTTTATAAAGATCACAAGTCATTGAGTTTGTTATTATTTTTTTTATTATTATTATTTCACTTCAGGTGTCGTAATGGATATTTGGGTATTGTGAACGGTATACACTAGCCTAGTGTTATCGATAAATGTATTGGCTTTATTCTATCACCAGCCTTCAAGCTAAATTTGAAAGATTTACGAAATATTCATAGGCGTACCATTTTTGATTGTTACCATTATAAGAATTATTTGTGTTTTAGAAGACCTTCCTTATGGCGCATCAGATCACATCCATATCGCTTCTAATTATTATTATTATTTAGAAATGATGATAATAATAATAGTCCGCTATGACATTGTTTCCAATTCCATCGTTGTTAATACCAGGCGGTAGTTCATTCACCAAATGGTTTAGCCTATTAATCGCGTATAGACGATGCCTTTTGTCAGGGTTACGGCTTCAGATGAGACATGCGACACCCTTTTTTTTTGTTAATAGGTAAAGTGTATTCAACTGGGGGGGGGGGGACGGTCCCCCTCCTCTGAAGTGGCTTTCTTAACCAGTTCAATTTTACACCTTCCCTGTGATGACATAAAAGAAGGTATTTCATGTTGGCTCTTACTTTTTACTCTTTATACCAAAAGATATTTATACTTTAAAAGGTTTCTTCTTTTTCCATCTGTTTTCGCTTGAGTAAAATGAGTTGGGGGTTCTCTTTTTTTCTCTTTTCGCTCACTTTTTTTTTTCTAACCCTAATAAAAAAAGATGAAGGGAATGCATAGATACAAGCCTCCGCGTGGCTATTCCCAGGCAACACTCTTCTTTCAGAGTGGCTAATGTGTATCTTTTCTTTTGAAAAAAAAAATCTTAATAAAGTATGTGCTTTTAAATAATCTTATTTCTTGTCTTTCAAGATCCTTTGAATGAGACTGTTAAACAATTGTTTCTACATTTAAAATAAGAATCAGTAGCTACTTGTTAAAAGACTGGTGTAGAGACAGAGTTTAAAGATCTTGTGCTTGCAATGACGGCACCAGCTCAACGTGGATCTTCAAGCTTATCCAAGCTAATTCAAACCAATCAAGATTAAGCTAAGCTAATTAGCCCGCTGCCATCAGCCTACGCACGAACCCACACATCTTTACCAGATCAACACTTCACCTTGGGGCCTTCCAGCTAATCCAGATTAATGAGGACTAATCCAGGCTAGTCTGGGTTAATATAAGCTCATTAGCTCACTCATCAACTCGGCTCTCAATTTAGAAATTTCAAGAGCCTTTAAGAAACATCTAAAGACACACCTTATTTAACAGATTTTGCTCGATAGGTGAAATGGAGAAAGAGCGCACGACCATTTCAAAAAGAGAAATATATCCCCAATGTAGTTGTGTGAGATAATAACGGAAAATCACAACACGGGGGTAACTGTTAGCTTCTTTTTTTTTTTAGATTTCTTCACAAATGAAGCCTGTTTGAGTCAGTCGTCAAAGAAGGTGACACGGATGACAGTATTGTTTGATATTGTAAGAGAGGGATGACCAAGGTTGAATAGAACAACAGCAATAGCGGCAAAGACATAAAAGCAATGATTCTTTTGTTCCCGTCTCTAATATCGTTAAGAGTCGTGTCTGGCAAGTAAAAAGACATCTCTTAAAAAAAATCGTATATCAATGTGCTTGAATGGGCATATGAATTATTTTTTTTTAAAAAAAAAAAAAAAAACTTGTCCATTTATGGATCTAAATGAATTGTTTCTATGTGGTTGTAAATATTTGGCGCTTAAAGTGTGTTTATCTTTACAGATAAATAGTTTTTTTTTTTCATATAAACAATGTTCTTTTTTTTTCTTCACTGTTCCTTTAAAAAAGTAAGGTAGAGAAAGAAAGAAGAAGAAGAAAAGAAAGGATGGGTGGGAATGGGGGTTATATTTTTGCTGTTTCCTTTTAAAATAAACGGTCGTTATACCTTTTTGACAGTAACAACAGAAACAACAACAAGAGTTAGGTATGTGGTTTGTTTTTGTTGTCAATATAAAAGGGTTGTTGTTGCATGATCTGTTCCATTTTAGTCACATTTTTGGTGCGGGGATCCGAATAAGCGTCAGTTGGCTTTGCAATGAGCCCATAATAACAGTAGTTTAAATAAAGCCGACATCCACACACACTCACACAAAAGACAGGCTTCTTTTTTTTTTATTTTATTTTATTTCCCTTTTCTTCTAAAAAAAAAAATGTTTCCTATTTTCATCCTATTTTTCTTTGGTTGCGTGACAAGTATCCCCATCTTTTCTTCCAGTCTATTCAACATTGGATGTACACAACCAATCTATCAAGCCTTGGATCCTGTGCAAGGATTAAGACCCCAAACTCAAGCTCATATCAACTTTGGTAAGTTATTTAACAGACAGTATGGGGAAATAACAAAAATAATAAAAAAAAAAAGAACTGACAGACAGGTTATAGGGTATATACATCGTTTGGATACACCCACACTTAGACTAGGACCTGACATTAGTGTTCATCCTACCAACAGTAGATCGGAAGAGCTACCTCATCAAGCGGCAGCTATTTTATCAAGTATCCGATATGATGAATTCAATCGTCAACTGGAAGTCCGAGGTCGTATTAGTCAATTAAACGCCTATCGTTTACAACGTGTACCGAATATGGAGGGCACAGTGATGAGCTTACGTTTTGATACCTTTGGCAGTAACCCTTTGAGTACAGATGGTATTACTGGTAAAATCGTGCAATTGACGGTGATCCCACACATCAAAGGAGAACAGCATGCGGAATTGGTGATGGAACTAACACCGGAACCTAATTTGGCTCATACAACGGAATATATCACCTATGCCGTAGGTGGAAAACAAACCAAGATGGATTGGACTGGTAGTGGTAAAGACGGATGTCGTACTTATACACAAGTGAATAGTCGAAAAGATCGATTTCATGAAACATTTGAAAGTGCCATGTTACTGTAAAATAAAAATATGTGTTTCTATCGTGGCTGAAACACACACACACACACACACGCCCTTTTTTTAAATATGTATATGTTTATTTTTTTTTACTTTTAATATGCTTTGGTGTGAACTACGGAAGGACCTGATTCATTATAATCCACTTTACTGATATAATTCTTTGCGTCAATAAATACAAGCTACGATTAGAGTAGAGTTAGTTTTATCAATTACTTTTTTTTTTCTTCTTCTGAAGCCACACATATGTAAATTACCTTGGCGACGATCTCAGCACCTAACCAGGTGGAATATTGCTGATACTTTTTATCTTTGAGTACCGTGAAATAATCAGCAATTCTCAAAAAACTTAATTGACGAGGTTGTGTATCTCCAGCATTTTCAGAGTGAGGTAAAAACAGTTGAACCTCTGTTTTGATTCGTCTTGCCAAACCTGCGGTGTGACAACAGCCACCTGCAATAGCGATATTCTCCCATAATTTAGGTCTGATCTCGGGGGGTTCACAATTCATGGCAGACAAACGCATAGCTTCGGGAAGAGAAGGGCTATCCAAACCTACAAGATCTGGAGAGAATAAAGGATCAAGCACATCATGACGATAGGCACCAATATTAAAGGTATGTTCCTTGTATTTAATTTCAACCGTCTCTGGTAAATCCACAACTTCTTCCTCTTCGGCTACTTTTTTGGGATTGGTCTCGTCGTCTAATATTTCGTCAATAATTTCAGGCTCTTCCATGGCGTTTTGTAATTCTGCTGCCAACATGTTGTCTTCTAATTCATGACCAATCGAGACATTACAAATACCGGGTAATTCGCGAACGTATTTGGCAAAGGATGTGTCGAGTTGAAGGTCTGTGTTTTCGAATTGTTTAACAAGGTGAGTGTCCTTTTTTAATAATTGGAGAAAGTATTCGTCAAACACATTGCCGCCCATGGGAATGGTGAATACGGATTGGGACTGAAGGTTGCTATCGACTACAATATTGACATCTAGAGAGAGAGAGAGAGAGAGAGGGTTGAATAAGAAAAGAAAAGAAAACATGTATAAAAGAAGCTAACCGGTGGTTTCGCTGCCAATGTCTACCACGATACCGGAGACGGTACCACAGCCAAAGAGAGTCAAAAGAGGTTGAGCAGCAATATAAACACCAGGTACGTTAAATGATTCGAAAAAGATTTGTGTGATGCGTTCATGTTCCAACTTTGTCCATTGTACAGGTACAGAAATCAAGACGGGACTTTCGTTGCGTGATTTCTTGATACCGAGTTCTTTAAAGAGAATATGATGCCAGCAGTCTTCCAGATCCTTCCAGTTGATAATCTTGTGGTTTTTAATGGGATAGTTGAAGTCTGCCATATCGATAATCTTTTTTGATGATTAACACATGCTTATTTTTTTACTATTATTAAAATTCATAGCAGAGTGCTTACCACACTGGGAGGCTTGTTGGTATCGTGCATGCCAATACCTGCTGTGGTGTAATGAGAGCCGACATCAATGACAACAAAGTTTTCTTCTCGTAAAGCAATGGACATTTTTAAAAAAGTAAAAAAAAAAAGACGCGTGTGGGGTGAATAAAAAAAGAGTTTCTCTCCTCTTTTTGGGAAATACAAGTCACCGTGCTTTCTCTCAGGCTAAACTGTATTCCCAAATAAACTTTCTCTGGGTTTAGCCAAAAAAAAAAAAAAAACTCGAGGTGATTGTTGTTTTTCCCTCTTTCGTTTCCCTATTTTTTTTTTTTTTTTTTTTTCCATCTTTATAGGTACATGATGGCAGGACAGAAACAAACTCACAAGGCGATGGAAGCGTTTCTTGTTGCTCCCGACAAGCTTGAATTCATATCCTTTTTATTATTATTACTCATTGAACCACATTTTGCAATGAACTAAAAACTTATTTCCTTAACTGTAAAAAAAAAAATTATTACTGCTCTCCAGTGAATTTTTTTAAAAATCATAATGTGATCTCTTCTGGATATGTAGCAATTGTTCAACACCCATTGTCCGAGACAACAGCAGAGTCATGGTAACCACATTTTTTTTTATATAATGCATAATCCAATTTTGGGTGTTAATTGTTATAAACATAGTGTTGTCTTGTTTGATGAACCCAAACAATCATCCTCTTTGCTTCTTTATAAAATCATACCCATCTATGCAGATATAAATATCGACCTTGGTTTGTTGCTTTTCTCTCTCTTTTATATATATATATCTATTCATTTGTTTACTAAACACTCTCTCCCTTGTTTTAGTACAATCCACTTTACCCGACAGTCAAAAATCTGGTAAATGGGACACAAATATTAATGCAAAAAGTGTATGACTGACCCCCCACAATTTTTTTAGATTTACTGGCTACCATTTCTCTGAAACAAGACTCCGCTACTTTTATTTTTCCCGAGAAAGACACCATGCTTCAATTTCTTACCATCTTTAAACGCTCCAAGGCCAAAGCGAGTAAGCTTTTTCTCCCTTCTTCTTTTTTTTTTTTATCTATATATACTAAACATACTAAAAAACAACTTTAAAATAGATCCTTCGGATAAACCTCAAAGCACTGAATGGAGCAAGACCTACGGCAAATATGGATGTAAGTTTTTTTTTTTTTCTATATAAGATTTTTTCCCATCACATACTAATAATCAACGACCAAAAAAAAACCAAAAAGTGACACCACCGGAAAGAAGACCTGTACGAACAAACTCTTTACCCAACGTGGATGATAATCCCGGTAGTGCATTACCCTTTGTATTGCCTTTACAACGTGCAGAGACTATCCACAAGATCAATTTAAAACGCACCAAGACCGTGGTTGCTCCCAAAAGTAAACAACTTCATGCAGATAATGCTAAATCGCATTGGATCAATAATCAATTGATGAAGAGACAGGATGAATTTGTCGAATGGGAACAGCCCACGTAAGTAGCTTGCTTTTTAGCATGTCATCGTGTAAAGAAAAAGAAAAAGAAAAAAAAAAGCTAAAACAGATGTATCAAGTGCCTTTGTAGGTACGTGGAACGTACATGGTCAGTTCCCACCTCCCGATTTAAGACCTTGGTTACAAGATTGTGATACGGAAAGTGGCACAATCAACGATCCCGATTTCTACATTATTGGGTACGCTTTTATTAATATATATATATATATATATGATGATGGCACACTCATGTATTAAACTATATTTAGACTGCAAGAGATGGAAACGAATACAGAAGCCTATTTCCGTCATGATCCCATGAAAGAATCTACATGGACACGAACGATTCTTGAATCAATCAATGGAGGAAGTGACGCTTATTACAAGGTCGAATCCAAGCAATTGGTAACCATGTTAATTATCGTGATTGCCAAAAAAGTACATCGCGCTGCTATTTCGGAGGTTCAATGTACGAGTGCTGGTGTAGGTCTCATGAACGTGATGGGTAATAAAGGTGGTGTCTCTGTACGATTTCGATTGCACGATAGTTATGTCTGTTTTGTCACGAGTCATTTAGCTGCGTTTGCTGACAAGACCGAGAAACGAAACCAGGATTTCATTGAACTATCAAAACGTTTGATTTACCCAAATCATCCGGACCCTTTAACAGAATATGTGTCGTATTCTTGGAATAACGGTGGTGACGAAGGTGTGTCGTTTATGGAAAATAACCAGGCGGTTCATGATTGGGATAAAGAAAGCTCGATTTTTCATAACGATGTGCTTATCTGGTGTGGCGATTTGAATTACCGTGTCAATCTAAATGAAGCTGTCATCAAGAATTATGTGTCACAAAACAAGCTGACTTTCTTGCTAGATTATGATCAATTGTCGATCGAACGAGACGCAGGCCGTACCTTCCCCATGTTTGATGAAGGTGAGATTGAGTTTCCTCCTACGTACAAGTATGATGCTGGCACCAACCAGTACGACACCAGGTAAGTCTTTTTTTTTTTTTTAGAGATGTATGAAAATAAACTCTGTAGTAACCATTTGCAAAAAAAAAAAAAAAAAAAAAAAAGTGAGAAACGACGTGCGCCTTCGTGGACAGATCGAGTGTTGTTTAAAAAGAGCCCAGTGGATAGCACAAGACCCAGTGTAGAATTACTGAGTTATAAAAATTGCATGACCATGATGAACAGTGATCATAAACCTGTGCGAGCCTTATTCAGAATGAATATTCGAAAGATCGACAGTCGAAAGCAACACGAGACACGACAACGATTAATTCAACAAATTGTGGATAATCCCGATACACAACCTCGTGGTGATATTTCTTCTTCTTTCATTGATTTTGAAAAGGTGCGATTTATGGAATATAAGGAAAAGAACATCTTGTTGGAGAATACAGGACAAGTGTTGATGTTGTTTAAATTTATCTCGAGTGGAGAAGAGGATGTGGTATTCCCACCTTGGTTACAGGTAGAGCCTAGTTCGGGTGTATTGGCTCCCGGTGAAAAGGTGGTATTGCGTTTTGAAGTGACGGTGGATCCAACCATTTCCGCTCCCTTGAACCGTGGAGAACAAAGCATTGAGGATATCTTGATCTTGAGATTGGCAGACTGTAAAGATTTCTTTATCTCGATCAATGGTGATTATATTCCTACTTGCTTTGGTGTACCCTTGGAGCAATTATCTGAATTAACCGTGCCCATCCTCCAAGTCACCAATACAGCCTATAAACCCATGCCCGTCTTAAATCAGATTGATGTTCCTAAAGAATTATGGATGCTCATGAACTTTTTATGGAGTCCCACTATGTTTAGCATGGAACCATTATTTTTGGAGCACGGTGATTTGGTTGTTTCTACTTATATCCGTGATTGTCTTGATAATGGAACCCAATTTGATGGTAATGTGTTGTTGGGTGGGTCTTCTCCCACAGGGGTTGAAGGAGAAGGGGAACAACTTGCAACTTCCATGGAACATTTGAATTTGACAGAGGAGGAGAAACGTCGAAAGGAAATTGTCAGTGCCAATTCCATGATTGATGTCTTGGTCGCCTTTTTAGAATGTCTTCCTGAACCCGTGATCTCCACTCATCTGTACGAACGTGCTTTAGACGCAGGTGATAGTTCCGATGCCATGAACATTGTAAGTAAAAAAAAAAATTATTATTATTTTATTTTTGACAAGTGTATACTAAACAAACAAATGTATAGTTAAAGGAGTCACTGGCGCCTTTTCATCGTAACGTACTCTTGTACATTGGTATCTTTTTGAGACAAGCGATTGATGCAGCACCCGCCAATTGCCGCAACGCTCGTGAAGAAAAAATCAGTAAGTTTATTGTGAAAAGATTTATAAAAAAAAAGGAGAGGGATGTATAGTAACCTTGTTTGTTTAGTCGAGACATTTACAGTCTTATTACGACCTCCTCTTGATTTCAAGGAACGTAATCCAGCTGTTGCTAAAGAAAGAAGAGAAAAGTTTGTAGTTCAATTGTTAAAAACTTGTAAGACATAAATTATTATACCTTTTCCTCTCTTATGACTTTTACTTTTTCTTTTCTTTTTCCCTACTTGGCATTTGGGATAATAATCTTCCTTTTTATACATAGAGCACGCTCTTATTCTCTCTCTGTGTGTATGTGTGTTTCACTGTCTAAAAAAAATAATGACACCTTTACATTTAATAATAAAAATACACTATTTTTAATCTATAGATGATACTCGATTTAAGGGGCCGGGCCGATCATTTGTCTTATGCGGTTAAATGGGTTTTTTCTTTTTTGACATGGCGTGTAAAATTAAATAAAATAACGGCTGTTAGAAAGCACGTTACACTCGAAAAGGAGAGAGATCAGCAGAAAATAAAAGAAGGGGGGGAGATATGATGATGATTTTTAATAGGAGGTTAAACTCCGATTGTATTCTATATAAAAAAAGAAGTTAGAGATTTTCTACTGTTCACTCTTTTATTTCATCATGCAACAAGAAAAACTCAGTTTACCCTCTATCGAATTTATGCTTCCCAAAGTGGAGGTATGCTTAAAAGAAAAACCAAAACGACAACATCGAGCGAGTCATAGTATAAGTAGTCTTCCATCAGAACTACAACAGCTCTCGATATCCGCACCAGCCTATATACCCGATGAAAAGAGTGAAAATAACCAACCGAGTTGGATGGTGATGATGCCCTCTGCTGGTGCAAACAGTATAAGTAGGCATGGTCGAAGTCTATCTGAATTTCCACCTTTACCCGTGATCAAACATCGTCATCAAACACATAAACGATCTGCCTCGGCTAACACACCTCATTTATCGTTTACCCATCATACCACCACCACCACAGTAAGAGCACGCACCGATAGTCCACCTACCGTGACCATGGCAACTCCTCAGGAAGAAGAAGAAAAGTCACATACTGCTACAGAAGCGCTATATGATGCATTGAACCTAAAGAAGGAAAAGAAGTACGATACGTTGATGGTAGCCAGAGACGAACATACGGGAAGATATTATTGTCCGTTTTGTAATAAAGCCTTTAACCGACCCTCCTCACTTCGGATCCATACGTATTCTCATACAGGGGAGAAACCTTTTGCTTGTCAAGAAGAAGGTTGTGGACGTCAATTTAGTGTTCAAAGTAATATGCGAAGACATTTAAGGGTACATCAATTAGGTAAATCCAAGGTCAAAGTACCTCTCCCTTAAATCTCCTCCTTCCTTTTTTCTATCCCGATTTGCCGCTTTTTGCCCTCCTCTCTTTCCCCCCCCCCCACCCCCGTAACCGGAGTTGCTCACTTCTTTGTATCTTTTTTTTTTCTATCTCTCTTTTATATGTACTCTATAATTAGACTTTTTTTTTTCTTTTACGTCCTATCCCCTTCTCTATATATAAATGACAATAATAATTTAAAAAAAAAAGGCTTTGGAATTATGATTTAAAAAAACAAAAAAGTTAGAAAATGAAAATGCCACGTGGCGGTTTTAGTGACAAAAAAAAAAAAAAATAGATCCGCTGAATGCAACCAGTTGAAACTCTTTTTTAGACATGTTATTTACAAAAACAAATGACATCAATCTTTTCAAAGAATCTTCTTGGCATTGTCCGCTTTTCTTGTTTCTCTCTTTTTTTTTTTTTTTTTTTTTTTTTTTTTTCTGATCTATTGTACTTTATAAAGTCACCACAGATCAAAATATGAACTCATGAGGAAGCACTTGTGATACGGAATTACTGCAGCAGTTATAAAAACCCTTTAATGATTTTTACCTTGGTGTGCTGACTAATAACTGACAAGTCTGCCTGAATACAGAGTTTAGGAATTACAGTTGTTTCTAGTTGTTATCGTTTTTGATCACAATCTGCGCTTTATTTATCTCGAGGTGCACACCTTCATCGTGTGAAGATGGCACAAACAATTACCCTAGTTTGCAGAGGCCTCCTTTCATACAAGCCATTAAATCACTTTCTTTCGTGTTGTCCATCCTTTTTCACAATATGAAGTTCATACATGTCATTTCTTTATAGTGTAAATGTTTTATATTTAAGTTGTCTTTGCTCTTAAACACTTATTCCATTGAAACGATGGTCGTCTCATTTCTTCTAGGTGATAATTCCCTTGACTATAATTCACCTAAAATACCCAATGAATTCCTAAGCCTTGGTTCATGTTTGAAAGAAGAAAAGCACATTCAAGATGTTGCTTTGTTTTTTTTTAAAAAAAAAAAAAAGATCATTTATTACATATTGTAGTCAGGGACGTCAAACCTACCGGTTAAACTTCATTGGCTGAAGACGAAGTTTACCCGTAGAATTCTTTTTTCTGAACCTTTTCGATCTCCCTGATGGGCTGGGTTGGTAATGACTGTCAAGCGAATTGTAAGGTTGCATGGACAGCGTGTATATGTATCACTCTTTCTTATCAGTCTCTAAGAAAAGCGTTTTTTTTTTCTCTTATTGTAAACATCTTACAGTTTCAATTAAAGAAAATGTCACGTATTATGGATAAAATTAGTTTATAACTATTAATATTTGGAATGAAGATCGAAATCCTCGAGCGATCTTCGATCGTGTTTTATTTAAAGCTCGCTCGAATATTATTTTTTGAGTTGTCGAACTTGCTCGAATACAAAAAAGGCAGTGGCGCATAATAAAACCAGCGCAAAATGTCACTTAAAATTTCTTTATGCTTACATAATGAATGTAATGGCTTCCTAGCATAATCAAAACAATCTTTATTCCTTACTTGAACTGTCATTTATGATTTTAAATAAAGATTTTGTTTTTTTAACCTTTTGTATTTTTTTTTTTTTAGACGCCCAAAAAATGTCTGAAGAGTACACATTTGGCGACAATGTTACTCTCATTGTGTGTTACCCGTCACAATGTTTAATATGATTATTAAGAGAGATCCTTAAGCAAGATATGTCTGTTCCTGACGTTTTTGCTTTTGATGCAACGGGTATGGAAATCTCGGGTTTTACTATACTTTTACAATTCATGTAAAATGGGGATTAAGGATGATTAAAATGAGAAGCATATATGATAAAAAACATGCTTGTTAAGTTTGTATCAAGAGAGTATCAACGCCGAGAGGAATAAATATGCCTCATTTATAATCGAAAGCAAATTTAAATGTAATATTTGGTGCTGATAATGACACAATCAGGATTATCAAGTTTTATTTATTAATGCGGAACGAGGTGGTATAGTTAAATTTGAGCAACAACAGATACGAACTTTATTAACTTTATATATATATATATATATATATTTATACCTCCAGACTTAAAAAAAGCTTTTTGGTGTGTTATGGTGCGAACTCATCTGCATCAATGCCTTCTTGATGTTTGCGCTTCATACTTTTTTTTTCTTTTGCTTTCTTTGCTTTTTTTTTTTTTTCTGTCATTCAAACCTTGCTTTATGATGTTCAGTATTCAATGCATAGTGCTAAAATCAAAATATATAAGTTTCAGGTTACTATTTTATCTTCTCTAATTCTGAACCGATCGATAGTGCTGTGTAAAATTCAATTCCATTAAATCGTACAATTGATCATCAGTAGTGTTTGTTTATATGGCATGGGCCTATAGACCTAACATAATGATATGTTAAATATTTAGTCATGTAATATGATAAGAAATGGATCCTAATTTTTACCCATGACTTGTATGTTCTTAATATTCAATATAGCCTCATTTCCCTCACCAATACCTAAAGTCATGACTTGGTTGTAAATTGCTTTGCCTTCAACTATCAGTTTCCTTTGATCGACTTTGATTTTTTGGGGACCAGCATATGGAGCGAATTCAGTACAAGAGACAGCATACTCGGCATCATCATATAGAAGGATAAATTTAGCATCCAGTTCAAACAAAGTATAATCATTGTCGTACGTAATTAAGTCTTCTCTCTCCTATTATTCATAAAGTAATCGAATTTTATACATAGGCATAAACTTTATGTCTAAATTACCATCGAATGACATCAAACAGTGCGAGAGAAAAAAGGCATGCGCCGACTTCCTGTTTATCACAACCATCCTTTAGATAGTAATCAATCACAACACAAAGACTCCATAATCGATGAAAAGAGCCTCAAAAAGATGTGCCCATATCTTTATAATTATGTCGGCTTCTGATGGAATCGGTTTTGATAAGGTGAAAATTGTACCTTGCTTAATCATTTTGTCAAGACTATCGGATATGTTGTTAATCATACATGTAAATTTTTTGAGAAAAATAAACTTTGCGTTCCAATAATAATCTTTACAAGCAAACAAAAAAGCCTCAATGTAACCAATGGTTTTGTATCGGTCGTATTCCTTCTTGATAAAGGGTGCATCTTATGTGTTACCCAAGGATTCGATAGCGAGCAGCGTCATGTAGTGAAATGACATCGCCAGGTTCAGCTTTTATAGCATGCCCGAACACGTCTAGATTTTCTGGTAGTTTAGTGCCATGCAATATTTTGTATTTTAATCTTGTCGTAGACGTCAACAACATCGGTACTGTTTAAAGCCTTGTAGTTAAAACGGCCGGTTTTGGATGTGTCACGTAAGTCGACCAGAGTAAGTCGACCGAAGTGAATCGCTGATTGTAGAGATTTACATGTACCAGATTGCTTTTTTTTTTTTTTTTTTTAGGGTTTTGGTGACCTGCTAGGAAAAGAATAACCGGATGTTTTCTGTTCCAGTCTAGTGTCATCTCTTTCATAACCACTTGAAAGGCCATATGTACATATATTCTAAAGGAATATATGCTGTATACAAGGCAGACAAATTCTGCAAGGTAAACTCAGAAGAATAGCCCATGTGTTAATTTTACATGATTCAATTGTTCCTGAATAATAAGTGATCATTCGTGCGAGAATACTCGGATTCTTGATACACTTCATCCTATCCTCTTGGTAAGTGGGTTGCAGCAAATGGCTGTCGCGTGTTGATAAATTCATTTTCAAAACTATCCGGAGTTTTTGATCTTGTACAATCTTGTTATAATCCGTCTCATAGGAAAAAGCCTAGACCATTGTTGACAGATGGTGTAAATAGGGACCTAAGTCAACTGAGCCCAACGCACCAGTAGTTCTGGGAGTTGGTGAACAACCAGTAACGTTAGACTGATCCGTGCTGTAAAGGCTGCCCGAAGGAAGTAGCGCTGAGCTAATACTGCTGGAACTGAGGATATATAAGGTTGATCTGCACAGGTTGCATTGTCAGTAAGGAGCGATAATCATTATAAAAATTCTTGAAACCTCCAGCGACATCCAGATCAGTATCTTCATACCGACTGTTGAAGTGATCAGCTGCTTTTAAGTATAGGGTTTCAGAGAATAAGTTCAGATATGTTGATAAACTTATAATTTTACCCGATGAGCTAGTAACAAGAGATGTCTAGTCACCTTTGGATCAATTATTTGATTATGATCTACCTTGACCTTGCTGTAGAGTAAAGCAGAGATTGGTTTTTTTAGAAAACTTTGAGATTAAGACAAACTCTGCTCAGGTATGTTTGTTATCGGCAGACTTAAGATGAGTATGAACTCCCTCGGTAGTGTTTTCCAAGTCCTTATAACAATCGATACATATTTTCATGCCACAGTAAGCGGAAACATGATTGTGGAAAAACGCGTTATTTACTTGTTAAATTCAAATAAAGTCCTATCAATTTGTTAAAAAGCGAAGGGAAATCTTACTTGACCAGGATAGCTTCTTCGTAATTCTTGAGGATATGAATAATATAGTGATTACTGAACGATCTCAACTTCATCAGTACAATTATGGCTGTGCTGAGATTTAAGTTCATGTGTGTATCTTTTTAAGAAAGAAGATTATACATATCGAGTGTTTATATCTTCTCGAAAACAACAATAATGCTTGTCAAAAATAGTTTCAGAACAAGGCTATTCTTTTGATTGATTATTACAAATCATGTCGAATTGATTATAAGGTAGAGAGGTGCATGGGCCAGCTTGAAGATGGATCTCAATATTCTCGTTTTTGTAACCGTTTTAAATGGTATGGTAGAGTTGTGGTTGGCTTGTTAGTTGATCTTCATTGTCCATTATTATTAACTTGTGAAAAAAGAGGAAAGAGAAAAAAAAAACTGGTATTAGCTTTTAATGCAGTCTTAATACGTAGTCGTCACAGTTGTAAGTAATAAATTCGCTCCTTTTGTTGATTGATAGAAAGTTCTCCCACGATATAATGCCATTAAAAAGGCCTACTTTTATACGGCCGATATAAAACACTTCAATACTAAAAAAACCCCCACTTTATTTATACGGCAACCCTCAGAGACAGGCATTACCAAATTGGCTGCTCCGAAAAAAAAATTCTATCATTAACAATCTATGGTTTCCTAGGAAAAGGTAAGCTATATTCAGTACAGAAGTAAAGTAAAAGACCAAGAGTGTTGTTAAACACGCACAATAACAGAAGTCTTCATTTCTACACTCTTATAACTGTAATCATTATATTACCATAAGAGTATTGGCAAACAATTCAATCCAAACGCTTAAGTGTGTGTGCGGTTTTCATTGCAGTACCACCGTATCTTAAGCAGATGTGTCATATTTTATTATACCGCTATATGCTTTGTTGTTGAAAATAAAAGGGGCTGTATGAAGGCCTATCTATTCCGATTTCGATTACTATGTACTCTTTTCGATATACACAATTATCTTAAAAACCACAGAAGATTAATATTTGCGTTTGAACCATTTAACTTTTTTTTTTATTGAATAGTGTCTAGAGGGATGGGTCGTATTCGACTCTGTAACTATTTTTGTCGCGGGAGTTCAAATATGCATGAATTTCTGAATTCATTTAAATTAGCGGGGGTTGGCTGTTTCACGATCGATATTCATCAAATGAAGCAATGCCGTGTAACGAGTGTGTGGCGGAAAGTCTGACCCGAACAGTGTCAAATTTGGAAATGGCAACTATTATTTATTCACTTCTTATGATCTATTGTAAACCTGTTTACGGGTTTTTATTCTTCCCTCTTCTTCAGTATTCGGCGGAACAGTTTAATATTTTTAAAATCACTATTGATTGATTTACAAGAAAAATCAAAGAAGCTATATTCAATTTTTTAGACTCAATGCTATAAAGAGAGAGGGGAGGAGCTACATCATTAAGATAAGAATGATAAATACGTCTAAAAAATCAGAGAAGTTCTTCAGGATTGATTTTTTATTTCCGCTGATGCATTTTTTCATTTACTTTGAACATTTTGATACCTGGTGAGATGCACCCCATTTGATTATCAAAAAATCAATAAAAAAACCGAGTACACCCATTCTTGTTCATATAGTGAGCTATGACCAGTAGATCATCTTGGTATAAAGGCTCAACATATTCTTTATAAGACATAGAAACATGATCATAGCGACGGACATAATACACCTGTGAATCCCATTTTAATTCAGCAAATGCTAGCTATACCAAAGGAGTTCTTTTTTTCTATGTAAAAAAAGACTCTAGCCACAAAATACGTCAAATTCTCATTAATCCTTTTAGTTTCATAATTTATTCGAGAGTCACTATGTACACCCAATGATCATTGCGACTTGTTAAAAAAATGAAGACATGCCATTCTCCCATTGTTTATTGTTTGGCCAAGAATTACGAAAAGATAATTGGCTCTCTTTATTGCATGTGATTTTATTTCCAATATGACATCAGATTTCTTAGACAATGTAGTTTTTAATACTTGATTGCAAGTAAAATAAAAGTATTGCGGATGACAGGAAATTGTAGATGCGTTGGCAATTATAGGGATAATCATTTAATAGGAGATAAAGCCATGAGTTTAATTCTATTAACAAACAAAAAATCGCATTTGTTGATGCTGTGGTTGAAATCATCTTTACCCCCTATTTTAGTCTACTTTTTATTTACAAAAATAAAAAAAGGGGAAAAAAAAATTGTGATAAATTATAGTCAGCAGTAAATGCTCTGTTTTGCAGAAACTGTACACTTTTTTGGGCACTTTCTTATATTATATGATCATGTTTTGAACAAAGATTGGCGCTTGTATAGGAGGGTTCATAAAAGAGTATATGAACTTTGTATGTTTACATAATTTCTTATAACAAAACTCAAAGTGGTACAAATTAGTAAGTTGTGTCTGACATAATTCAGCCGAAATGTTTATTGGGGTATTTAATCATAAAGTAGAGGAAGGCGGTCGAGCTTCTCTTTTTTCCTCGTCAACTTTTTTTTGATTAATAATGCCCAATAGAGGCATTAACTTCAGCCTGGTGCTATAGTCATAGAATATACCCCCCTCCCATATACCCGAGCCTAGTGCCAAAACATACCCTTTTTTCTTAGAAGATACCCTTCATACCCTGTTATTATCAAACATATTTTGCTACATGTATATGAACTACCCTGTAAATACCATCGAAATAGACAAGGACAGCGATAGCTTATGAGCATAGAAATTGAAGTAGATAAGAAAAATGACACTTTATAGACAACATATATATAGAAAAAGACAAGAAACATGACTCTAAAAGTACCCTTTATACTCAAGACATACAGCCAAATCCTCAATGCCTGGCGCTAAATGTAAATAATATACCTTGTAAATAACATCAAGACCGTACATAACATCAAGCCTGTAAATAACATCAAACCTGTAAATAACATCAAGACTGTAAATAAAATCAAGCCTGTAAATAAAATCAAGCCTGTTAATAAAATCAAGCCTGTTAATAAAATCAAGCCTGTAAATAAAATCAAGCCTGTTAATAAAATCAAGCCTGGTACCGCATGTACATGACATACTCTGTAAATAATATCCAGACCAGTGCTTTGGACGTAGAAATAGATATAGATACATATATAGACGTAGACATAGACATAAAAAAAATAAAGTTTATACCCAAGCCTTGTGCTTTATACCCCCAAAAAAAACCCCTCTTAGACATAAACAATAAAATCCAACACACATGTATTGTCTTTTTGAGATGGACAAAAAAAAAAAAAATTAAGAGGGAAAGCTTTTGTCTTGCTTACCTTTTTTTATATCATGGAAATGTTTAAATGAATCTTGCGGTAAATCATACTTTTATTTTTGGGGACATCGTACATGTAACTCCCATTGTTACTTTACATACATCAATAGCGTAAGATTCATTCCGATAAAAAAAAAGATAAAGCAACAAGGATGGGAACAACATAATATGTGAGACTATCGAGTGTGTGGAGGTAATATCAAGTTATCAATAAATGACTCGGACTTGATCAACGATACATATAAAGTGACATCCGCCCCCCCCCCCCCACCCCACCCCACCCCACCAAAAAAAAAATATGATACAAAAAAAAGAGGACAAATTTTATTTTCCCTAACCAAGAGGTCCTTCATATCATTTTGGGTTACGTGCCAAATCATTACAATTCACATATGTCCCATCCTCTCTGTACGTATTTTATCTTATTTTGTAAGGTTTTGTTTTAACATCCCTTTTTAGTAATAAGCTTGGGATCATTTTGTTTAATTGTTCAAAAAAAAACACTCTTATACGGAAAAAAGCACTGCTTTAAAGCATAAATCTTGTGCGTGTCACTATGCCTTGTTTTAATTGTGTGTAGCTTTCTCTCTTTTTTTTTAAATTTTTTTTCAAAATGATGGTTTGATACGAAAAAAAAACGTCGTAATAACACCCAAACGAATAAGAAGCTAAGAGTTTGTGTAGAGAGGACAAAGGCGTACGGGAATATAAACAAGCCTTTATATATAAGCATTTTAGACATCAGTAGATTCAATGCAAGGACAATACTATCGCTGAATGGACAGTGGAATTGGGAATGTGGAAATGTGTTGATCTTAGAGGAATCAAAGGAATGGACACAAACAGATTGATAACTACTGTGTTTGAGATTAAAAAAAGAGTTATACATAAGGTTTCTTTACGCATGTCAGAAAAGGTTTGTTCTATGACAGACCAGACGGTTGTAGACATAATAAGAAATGACTCTTTACCCAGTATATTAGTTTCACTTATTTGGTAAATCCGGCAAACTCATGATCTAGCCTAAACAGCGTGTTTCGAGGTGTGAATTCCCAAGAAGAGTTGAATATATTCAGATAGCATCAAAGATGGGTTGGGAGAGTTAAATAGATATAATAGAAAGTATTTATAAAAAAAGTAGTAAGATAAAAAATGAACAAAATAGAACTTAATGAAGTTAAATAATGAAATAAAGTATGTAATAGAGCTTTGATCTATGCCGTCTAACTCTAATGCCACATTTTAGTTGGCGTAGCATATATCCGATTGAATCATCTAAATCCCCATTCATTTAATTCTTCCTGTACTCAATGTCGTTCTTGTTGTATTGGGAATGCGATAGTAACATCGTTGCCTTCGGTTTCTTCTGATAATCCTTTTTTTATACAGGTTGTTATATAATGATATCACCAAGCTAATCGAGGTTTAGGATATATTTCTCTTCGGTAGTATAGGAACCGTCCGTTTGAGATATTACTGCACCCCATCATGTGCCAGCAGAATCCAGTTTATTTACAGCCACACTCGTAATGAAAGGATTGATAGATACTATATATCTTCTATTGTCATCACCGGTAACACATATCACCAACCACACTTATATTATTATGCGTGTAGTATAGTCATTTCAGGTGGCAATTTGACCTTAAGTTTTCATGATCGTTAGATGATTATTCTCAACTTCATGCCGTCAACGTGGTCTGTATCATCCTCTTGAATATATTTTGGGTGGGTATATGTCCTATTTCTCCCTCAACTATATCATCATTATATTGATCTTGAATAGACCCTAATTATACGCTCGGATCCATGTCCTCAGTACCAATAGTAGTCACTACATCTTTTTGATTAAAATTGTGTTCAACTGTCCAAATATGTGAAACCCTTTGTGTATTTGGATTGAAGCGTCTTTCTGTGGGTCTCTCTTTTTGCTGGTCATTTTGATCCCCTTATCTGAAGAATTGGTTTTAAATGTTCATATATTCCAATACTTTGTGAGTATACACAAGATGTTTGTACTATTTGTTTGTAAATGGATAGTTGAGCCCTGGGTCCAACTTATGGTAGATTAAGACAGTTGTATGCTGATGCGTAAAAAAAGGTATAGCCTCTGGTAAAAGGACTTCAAATTAACCCAGAAAATTAAAATCATCCCTCCTCATCATCAACTTACTATGATTAGAGAGTGCTATTTGTGCTTCGTTTATAGAGTAAAAATAGATTTGCTTCATAATCGTCCCATAGCAATTTAATCATAAGATTGTCCCGTTTCCAAAGATTGTGGTCTCTTGTTATACGACGATAGCTCATGTTAGGTTAAATAATTTCCAAAATTTAGTGGCACATATATAATATGAACAAAGATTGAGTGATGACAAACGTTATTCAATAGGGCTGACCCAAAAATAGAATGGTACGCAAAAATATCATCCTTAAGCCGGCCCAGACAGCTGCTAAAGCCATAGTCCATGAAAAAAAAAAAAAAAAGGATAAATCAGGCCCATTTTTCTCGACTTCATCCTTTTCGTCAAGTCTTCGGTTCTCTGACACTTATTAAAATTGGAACGGTACAGAGAAGATTATCATGGCCCCTGTACAAGGATAACACTAAATCTCTAAGAGGTAAGCTCTACGGAGCACATTTTTTAATGACAATAGAAATGAAAGTCGGTTTCTTTATTTTGTTATGATCTGTCAAGATCGTCAAACTCCTCCAAAGTTGTTCTTTTCGAAAACGGAAGGGCACTTTTAAGTTTTCTTGATTGTCACTCGAGTAGTCATACTCGATTAAATCTTATTTATTCAGTTGAACCTTTCGATTCCTTCGAAATGTCTTCGGCCTCAGCTGGAAATAAAAAATCCAAAAAGAGACACATACACGGTTATATGTAACTATGCAAATAAATAAAGCTGATACAAACATTTTGATAAACAAATTCAAAATAAGTCACCTCTATACCAAAGTGTTCTTAATGAAGGAAGATTAGTAAAAGAAAAGAAAATGCAATTAATAGCTTCTACGGATTGCTGCTCAGACAGTGTTTTGAAATTATTTTATTCATTACAGAAACCAGATTAGTTCGCGCTAAATGCAAAGTAAAGAGGAATTTTAGATGACACTAGCCGAAAAAAGATGCTTTGGATCTTTGAGAATGAACGAACGTCGAGGGTTTGGCATTTTCGGAAAAAGTATGGCACAACGACTATAATAAGTGACAGGCTATGTTTATTTAATTGTAACTTCCCCCTTTTTTTTAAAGTACCTACAACTAGGGATGGTATTTATCATTTTTCCGAGGAATAGCCTTACCCATTATTTCGCAAAGATTGGAATACATATTTTTGATTATTTTATTATACAAACAAGTATGATATTTTAGCGTTTTGTTAATAAGTCGTCAACCCAAGGCGTAAAACAAAGTGTATGTCTATTCCAAAACCAGAAAGATTGACTCATCATTAAAACCCAGGGGAGTTGTCCAATACCAAAATGATCAATTATTTCAAAACAGCAGAGTTTTTTTAGTCTGTTTTTACCTGGAATAAAAAATATACTTTTATCTCATTATTTCTCAAGTGTATTATTTTTTATCAAATTTCTCAGTTATGGACGCAAAATGCGAATAAAATTGAGACATGGCACACAGGATATGATAAAGAAAGGTTACGGCTTACACTGTAATAAATAGAGTACAGTATAAATAAGTAGAATCCTACATTTATAGTTTCTACAGCTGCACCTCATAACACCTGTTGAAAAAATATTGTAGTTTGTGTGGCAGAAGCCACGACGAAGATACCACGAAATATGTAAATTCTTCAAAAAATGATTTCTGCCAGACTTGAACTGGCGACCGTCTGCGTGTTAAGCAGACGTGATAACCGACTACACCAAGAAACCAACTGTTATTTTTATAACTTGTATGTTTTAAATAGAATGTAAAAATACAAAAGTGACGTCATCAAACCACGTGATTGTCACGCTTCTCGAATACGATTGGCTATTTTCTGGATAGGCAATAGACAAAGCTTTTCTTAAGGACAGCCAAAGTACACTTAGTCACAACGTAAGATCTGTGATTTGGCTATCCTTTAGACGTAGAAAAAAGAAAAAATAATCAAAAACAATATGGTAATTGCAAATAAATTAATATTGAATGATTTGTACTTGGTTTAACAATTCTACCATCACTCCTTCGCCTTTAAGCTCGTTTGATCTTAATCTTACGCAGAAATATTAAGGTAATAAATCCAAACGAGAAACTGAAGGTAAGCTATAACACACCTATACTGGTTTAAATTATGTTGGTTGTGATAGATTTGTTTCTATTTCAAGCTATTAAGTTATATTGACCTCTTGGTGTCTATAATTAAAGTATCATAATCCCAACATTACGACTACGCGCACCCGCGCTGTCCCTAAGAGACCCGAATAGACAATTATATCTTTGATTTTATATTTTATTATAATAAAACGATCTTTACTTTATATTTAACCCAAGGAGGCTTACATCAGATCGCTATAATATTGAAACCTGTTAATATGATTTAACATTTTCTTAAAAGCTACGCTATGAATACTGTAGGTGTCAGGCATTGAATACAACGTGGGATGAAGCCGCCTAAAATCCACAAACAAACAGTCTGGCTGGACTATAAAATTGTCACTTTTACACAATTACAGTAATTCATCGTGCTTAAATTTTTTTATGTTTTAAACCTAATTCATGATATAATAAGAGATACTCAAGAACGGGTAAAAACTGTAATCTTTGTACAATAAAGGCTTTACACATTACAATATGTTTCTCTATTACGATGCACTCAAACAACGTTCTCTTTTGATAGTCGAATTTATGTCGCAATGTCTCGGATAGAAAGGCTGATGATTTTTACAGTTTTTAGCACAGGAACTAAACTAGAGTCAAGTATCCAGCTTTATGCTACTGATACAATTAAGTATTCTGACAAAGAGGCATTACAACGCATAAACGGCACAAGCATTACTTTATGAATAGTAATGTAACTTTTAAAACATAAACCCTAAAAAAACAGTAGTTTATAACACGTTTATCATCGCTCTCAGGCTTCGATTAGCATTGAAAGATAATCGTTAAGAAAAAAAAAAATGAAACGCTCGTATTTCTCATACAAATGTAGTGATATCCTTACTACAAACTAGCTCTCTTTCCCCGCCCTTCCTCCACGAAAACTATGTAAATATAAGACAACTAAAGAAACCTTCACCTTTTTCAATCATTTATTATATATAGAGGAGAGAGGAATAAATGAATCACGAGTCTTTAGAATGCATGTTGCTGATAATAAAAAATGTTTTACTAATAGCGTTCCAAAACCAATCTGAAGCCTTTTTCAGTTTTCGGTAATAATGTTGAAGTAGCCATCACCTCCACATCCATCAGCAAAGGCAGCTCTTTGATCTAATATTTCCTGACTAGTCTCTTTTTCTAAATCACCCACTTCACAGTTAAAATCTTCGGTTACAGTAAGACCAGCGGATGTGCATTGAGCATCAGTTTTTTCGGCAATACATTTAAAGTCCTCATCAACACAACAGGCAGTTATAGCGTCAACGTTTGTCACCATAAGCGAGAGTAAAGTACAAGAGACCAAGAGTAAACTAAAGCGAAGAGTGTTACCGAGCATAGTGATAAAGATAAATTGATAATTAATAATAATAATAGAAAAAAAGTAGGTGCAAAAAGAGATGGTTCAGCGCTTTTTATACATGTATATTTTACCATATGTACTATATTAGACCGGCGATGACAAAAATATAGCAATTACTTTATTATTTTCTGCGAGCGAGGAGAGAAAGGGATAAGGGGTTAAGATCACCCCCTTATTCCTTGCATGTTTTTTTAGTTTTGGGGTCGATGTACGCTAACAAATAAATCGAACTTAATGGTATAAACGCTAAATACATCTAATAGTAATATTATGCCATGGGAGTGCTCATGGGGGTCTTTTTCTTCTCTTCTCATATACCTTTAACTTTTACTTGCCATTTTTTTTTAAAAAACAGAGAGGTGTTTAACGCCACTCTATTATTGGGATATTTTGTATATACGTTTGTGATCATCATTGTACAGAAATGTACGATGGATTATTCTATATTTAACACGCCTCTTGTCATCCGCAACATGAATTTGAAACGCTTCACTTTATTTAAATTAGTTGACAAAGCCATACTACCCTATCTCAATCAATAATAATTTGGGTTTACAGAATTCGTAATGGATTATCAACAGGGTGGTTTAACCGTGAGCTTGTATTAATATGACAATGATGCGTGCGCTTTCACAAACCAATACGTCAGATGTCTTATATGTATATGTGCATTAAAATCCAATTTAGGCGTATAAACGCTTCGTAGTTACGAACAGTTACGCACAGTTACGTCATAGTATTTCGCTTGCAGATATCTATCGTGAGAGAATGAGACCATTTTTTCTAAACAGCTTATAATCATATGCAATATGATTTTTTTTTTTTTACGTTGAATACAAGATTGGTCAACATAAAATAATCTTATCAGTCAATATTTTCACAGAGATAAGATTATTATGAACCTCAAGGTCTTTTTGTGTAAGGGTTCCCTTACAGACTCTTGAATACTTTTTAGAATAGCCATATTTCGGGTATGATTTTTTTTATAGAACAGGGGGATATGTGATAGCACTTGCATTAATTCAGAAATAGTGTTGCAAAAGCAGAAAATAAAGAAATAATTGCCTTAATAGGTGAAACAAGCGAAACAAAACCAAAAACAGATTTCCCATTGAAGACGGGCGTTATAGGTGATCTAAATCCAATTTTACTAATTTGACTTATTTTTTATTTTTTTCTTATAGAGAAAAGAAATGTAGACATGATATGATTTAAAAAGTGATGTGTGTATGTAAAGAAAAAAAAAAAGAGAGAAAGGAATAGAGGGAGGCTTAAATTTCAAATGTAACCTTTTTCTTCTTGTGAGATTTTTCATGCTTTGCCTTCTTTCTATCTTTCTTTTCCTGCTCTGCAATCTCTTCGGCATGTTGCTTTTCAATTAACTTGGCTTGCTTTTTAGCCTCCTTGGCAGCTTTTTTGATATGCTTCTCCAATGACTTTTTCTTGTGCTTTTGTTGCTTTTTAAATGATTGTTCATCATACATTTGCTTCTTTTGGTTTCGATAGCTATAATAATGATATAAGTAAATCTATTTTCATCAAAACATTGAAGGCTACTTACGGTGCTAATGCCTTGATACTAATGTACTTGTTGAGTTCAGCATCGTCAGCCAATAAAATTTCCTCAGCAGTTAATCCATAATCTTCGGGTTGAGTCTTTGTATATTTGAAACGTGTGTAGAGATCACCACCAACAACATCTTCGTAATTGAGAGAATAATATTCTTCCAAAAGGTCATTGTATTTTCTCTTTAAATCTGCTCGTTGTCCAACATCCTTTGAGGCAATATCTCCGCCAGCTTGGTTTCCACCTTCATACTTGGCGCCACCAGGAAGATAATCAGCATCCATAATGTCATCATCGGGTAAACCAGTTTCGATCTCATCATCCCACACAGGCTTAACATTCTCACCATCTTGAGCACCATCATAGTAAGCATCATCAAAGACACCCTGCATTTGGGCATCATACATGGCGGGATCATAATCTGCATCGACGTCAATGTTTTCAATACCGGTGATATCGCTAACTTCCTTGAGCTTGGCATGAATTTCACGCATCTTTTTATTCTTTTGTTCCTTCATCTCTTCAAGTTGTCTTTCCTTGAGAGCAGCCTTGTGCAACTTTTCTCTCTGTCTTCTAAGAACTCTCTTACTTTCCTTTCTACGGACACTTCCCTCAATGTTACGAGCATATGTTTTGATGGTACCCGAACCTTCTTCTTCGAAACGGAAGTTGTATTTACTCTCGAAACGGTCAATGTCATCCAAATCAGCTTCATCTTTATCTACGTCGTCAGCAAGTGTTTGAGGATTTCCTGTCTTTTTATCTACCCATCCACGGTTTAAGACATAATCCATTAAGAAGGCGTCCTCGGGCTTAACATTGGGATTTCCCTTATAATTACTCCATTCCTCAAATGCTTTCTTGGAGGGTTCATCATTTTGCATCTGGCTCAACAAGAACTTGCGATAGTCATTCTCCTCTGCTTCCTTCTCTTCAGAAGTCTTATCCTTCTTGGTCAAGAAATCATCTTCCTCGTCATCCTCGTCTGATGCCGCTTCGATTTTAAAAGCATTACGAAGATCTTCCTGTTCTTGATGATGAGTTCTGCCCGTGGCTCCTTCTTTGTATTCGTCAACATAACCACCGTTCTCCAAAAGAATCTGGCGTTCATAATCCTTGAGGGTCACCTTTTTCTCCTCGGGTTCCTTGACGGGGAAATCATGGGTAGATTCGACAGGAACATTGTCGAAAAATTTGGTGGAGTCTTCATAGACACGAGGATCCTTGGCCTTGATGGCAGCAATCGTACGGAAGATCTGAGAATCCATGGCAGCTGTTAATAAATTCGCGTCATCGTCCTCGTCTTCGTCAGAATCATAAGAAGAACTCTCATCGCTGGAGTGTTCTTGTTCTGCAAGAGCAGCTACTTCAGCCTCAATTTCTAAATTATAAAAAAAAAGTTAATTCTATGCAAAATATATTATCAGACATTTTTTTTTATTACCTTCGGTAGCCTTCTTCACTGCAAAAAAGCAAAAACAAAAAAACAAACAAACAAAAAATGAGTCTCATTTTCATAAAATTGATCAAGATTTTTACTTACATAATTCAGGTCGTTGATAATCCTCTGAGGGATTTTGTCTTTCTCTAATTTGAACGTCGAAACCAGACATTTGATTTTTAAAAAAGATCTGTAGAAACGAAAAAAAAAAAAAAAGTTTTTCTTCCACTTTACTCTTGGCTGACTGCGCAACTTGAAAAATAACGCCGATTCCCTTTTTTGGAAAGACTTTTTTTTTTTTTTAGCAGTGATAGAGCCTCAGGTAGAGGGGGTGAAGGTTATCCACAGAATGGCATGAACTCAAAGTAATCGATGAATGATTATACACACTAGCTAGTGTTATCTCGAGCTTTTTAATCTAATCCCATCATGATCCAAACCAGTCCTTGTAAGAATCTATTAGAATGACAGCTTGCTGGTAGTACGTGGAAAACCAAAATTTGGTTAGGTGCATTAAAATACAGTCTCGTATGAAACCGAATTGGGGGTAACTCTGCTTTGTTATACATCCATATCTATCAATGTCACCATTTCTAAGAAATTGTATATGCCGATCCAACAGATATATACATCCAGTTTTGCATGGTTACAACAGCTCTGTTGAGTTGGCAACTTCAGTGTTCGGGGTAACTCTTTTTTTTTGTAATGAAAATATTATACGTGTCAAAACGGCCCTTTATGACGAGCTATACCGAACGAAATGCTTTCATTATCGAGGTCATTTCTCAGCATTTTCACAAACCAGATGCTTATGACAACCAGGTGAGCTACATTTAGATAGCATGATTTGGAAAAACTTGGAATATCAGTATTTAACTAGCATTTATTTGTGACTTATCCCTTCACTTCCCAGTACTATCATGTGATACTGACTACGAAAGATGACAGACAAAAATAAACGACCCTTCCTTTTTTTTTTTTTTAATTTTTACTTAATTCTAGTTTTGTCGCAATGGCTCCAACAATGCACCCTCTTTATCATAAACTCCAATACGAAGGTGCCATCTCAAGTATCAATTCATGTTTAAATATATATTTTTTTTTTACAAAGACTGACTAACCAGGAATAATAAAGTTTTTTTGTTCTCGAAAATCAGAAGCTTTTTTTTTTTTGTAAACAAAAATGTCACACAAAACTTCTTATACCAAGTCATACAGGACAACAGCTTCTTGTATACGGAGACAAAAATGGGTAATCAAATAAACAGAGGTGAGCATGTTACACTATGGATTACCCTTGTAAAATAAGTATTGTAGATCTGATTTTACAAAACCTTAATGACGCCTATTAATCTCTATGTTATATACTCGTATTTCAACTTGTGCAAACAAAACAGTCAATTACATTTAGTGTCTTTAATAACGAAGACAAACCATTTTTTTTTGCTGTAATAATAATAAAAAAAAAAATAGGCCTGAATAAAGCATGTGAAATGAGCGGTAAAAAGAAAAAAAAATAGTGGGAAGGTTGATATGGCGTATTTTATAGATCTGTTTAAAGTATGATTGGATGGTGCTACTCAGGATGAACTGCGCTTCATGTGCTACATTTTAAAGTGGATGTGAGTTACTGTGTAACTCTCTTGTTATTTGCAACAAAATGCGGGGGGAGGGGGGAGGGGTTCAGCATGGTGAATATAGCTCAAGATTTTTTGTTAGCAGCTAAAAAAAAAAAAGGGTGTTTAACATATATAGTAAAACAGACATACTAACAACAATGGTAGCGACTGTTGGTATGAGCGAGACTAAGTGAGTTTTAATTACTACGATAGATTGATATGCTCATTTAAAATCGGTGTTTCACTTTATTCATAATGCTTCTATTGAAACACAAGCTAGACCTGTATCATATACCCTTTTTTTTTTAATATTCTTATTCATTGATAAGTAATCAATTCATTCGTTTTTTTTTGAGCGACAGTGCCTCAAAATCGGGGACAAAGGTTCCCGTTATTCCTAAATTATGTCTGAAAAGGAGAAAAAGTAATTGATAGGACATGAGAGATATGTAATTTGTACCTGGTCGTTGTATAAATAACTTTATTACACAAAATACATTAGTGCTAGAGGAGTAGATTATAGGACTTCTCTTCAAACACCTTTATCAGTGAGATGAACAAGTTTATGTTCCAAATGTATGATGACCAAGGAAGTTTATCTTAATCGAGACAAAACAAAAGACATAGTATGGGATGTCATTTGCAAAGTTAAAAATGGTATAAGATGTAACGGGTTGACGGAAGCTGTTATTGAATTATCAAAAGAAAGTCAAAGCTGTACGACACTATTTTGTTGGAACCGGAAGCAAATAAAGTTTGCCGAGCAAATGAGAAAAAAAAAAAAAATGTCAGCTCAAAAGAGCACGTTTTTTTTGCTTTACACAGACAGAAAATTAGGTTTTGTGTTATCACTACGTATTTTTTTTTTTCTTGATAGGTCTTCCTTGTACAAATTGTATTACACACAGATCAATCGGGTGATAGGTGAAATGAGCACAATATAACATCCCGGGTGTGTGTATTCTGTCAACGTTGTTTGACATCTATCCATCCTTGTGTGCACTTTTGATTAATTCATACATCATTTTTATAGTGAAGTCTTAACATATATATATATATATTTAGAACCCGGCATGATAGCTGATGGTAAAAAATTATGCGGCATGCTGAAAATATGGTTCCGAAATAAATTGACGTTTGTAATACAAGAAAAGGGGGAGAGAGAGAGGAGCAAACTCATTTTGGATCTGCCGCTCGTTCTTGTAACGATAACTTTGACGGTTTCAACAGCCGAAAGGCACAGACCAAGCTTATATAATTTGACTCTCTTTTTTTTTTTCCTTGTTTGTTTCTTGTTTTCTTTTTTCACTATATCAAATCGATAATTATATTAATACAATGTTGAGCATGCACGAGAACAGAGAAGACACTAGAAGTAGTGAAGAAGTAAGTATATTTTTTATTTTTTCATATAGGCTCCATGCAGGAAAACCAACACATTACCCTTTCTAGATTATTATGGAGCCTTACACTTACTTGTTGTCTCATCCTGGTAAAGACATTCGTACCAAGCTTATTTCTGCTTTTGACTTGTGGCTCAATGTTCCCAAGGATATCCTTGAGGTTATTAACAAGGCCATTGGTATGCTTCACAATGCCAGTTTAATGTAAGTTTTTACGCGCATGGGAATCTTCTCCAAAACAAAAAACTCACACGCACAATGAAACAGGATTGACGATGTTCAAGATGACTCCGAGTTAAGAAGAGGTTTCCCCGTCTCTCACCTTATCTATGGTGTCCCTCAAACTATCAATACCGCCAATCTTGTCTACTTTTTAGCCATCCAAGACATCCTTAAGTTGGGTATCCCTGGTATGGTTGAGATTTGTACTGAGGAATTAATTCATTTGCATGAAGGCCAAGGTATTGAATTGTACTGGAGAGATAGTTTGACCTGCCCTACCGAATTGGAATACATTGATATGGTCAACAACAGTAAGCTCTTTTTTTTTTATCTGTACATTTTGACGCTGGTGGAGTTTTAACTCTTTTTTTTTTTCAATTAGAAACAAGTGGTCTTTTAAGATTAGCTGTTCGTTTAATGCAAGCTGCCAGTGAAAGTGATGTGTAAAGTAACTTCTTATTGATATGATTAATATTCCATACTCATTATTCTATATCATTAGTGATTATACTCCTTTGGTCAACATTATTGGTATCCACTTTCAAGTTCGTGATGATTATATGAATCTTAAATCCGATGCCGTAAGTTATAAAACTTGTTATAGTCATCATATAAATACATTACTAATGATTATAATCTCTCTCATTATAGTACACTGAAAACAAGGGTTTCTGTGAAGATTTAACTGAAGGAAAGTTCTCTTTCCCTATTATCCACGCCATTCGTTCTGACTTGAGTAACCGTCAATTATTGAACATTGTCAGCCAAAAGCCTACCAATATTGAGATCAAGAAGTATGCTTTGGAGATCATCAAGAGAGCTGGTAGTTTCACCTATGTCGAAAACTTCCTTCGTCAAAAGGAGGCTGAAGCTGTTACCGAAATCAAGAGATTGGGTGGTAATGCTTTATTAGAAAAGTATATTGATACCCTTGGTTTGGATGCTAGCAAGTAAACCCTCTTCCATTACACACACAAACACACAAACACATACAATATCACTTAAAAAATACCCACACTACCCTTTCAACTTTTTCTTCATTGTAATACCATTTTTTTTTTTGTTTTAAATAAAATAATGAGTTTATCAACCAAAAATATATTTATTATACTGCATGTGATAGCAGAAAAATGTGAAGCACTGGGACTCTCAGCACATTCCTTAACAGGCAATTATGCTTACATTTGGTACCTGATCTTATTTCTTTTTGGGACTAGTAGCTTTCAATGAAGCACTATAAATTGGTTTGTGTTCGCGAGCTGAGCCTACGTGTCAAAAAAAAACATAAACTTGAATATTACTCTTTTTTTTTTGGGCAGCTGAAGAAACAAACATGCTTAAAATAAAAATTTGCCTCAGTGAGATCTCAGTAGATGATTCAAACATCGTTCTGTTTAATACATCCAAGGTAGCTTGCACATCCACTACTTACTCCGCATTTATTGCAACACCGTATAATTGTATACCCACTGTTGAAGCTCATATATAAAAAAAAAAGTGCAATCATGGTTCTGTTTGTAACCCAACTGATTAAAAAAGCGACATTGGCGCTTCATCTCTATCGAAAACAGACACTATGGTTTATTAAGTCAAACACGGACGAAGGGCACATAAAAGATCCGAACTAAAAGCCTCTTCAGAAAATTTATCGGAAGCGGATGCTCGAGCATTGGATGCGATTTGTTCATACTCCTCTTCTGATAAAGATAAGGCGGTATACAAAGCATCAGCAAAAGTATCCACTGAATCAGCAAGAAAGCCCGTTGGCTTTCCATCATATTCTGTCACAATATCCAATTTAGGCCCACCGGATTGATGAGCCACTGGGATTAATCCTGCTGCCATGTATTCTACAACGCCAATACCAAAATGTTCATTCCACATCGTATGAAGTCCGACCTTGGCCATACCCAGACTCGAAACCAATAGATTGTAAGAAGCATTGACCTCAAACCTTACGTAATCCTATCACATTTCTGCCGTGTTTAGAAAAAACACACACACACACGCTCTTATTGATTTATTACCTCAATTCCCAGTTCAACAGCCTCTTTACGCAATCTATCAATTCGATTCGCATCACCTTCGTTTCTGGAACTTCCGATCAAGACCAGCTCAACCCCCATGGATTTTGTCTGAGGATACTTCTCCATCATCTTTGCCAACGATTTTAACTGTAAAGAATGATCCTTCTCTGGTCTAAACTGGGCAACACTGACAATGATGGGTTTTCTACCTTGCAAGGGTAACACGTTTAGCCTTTCTGTATCGCAAGGTGGATAAACAATCTCTGCTTTGGTGTGCCATAATTCGTCAATATGCCCCTTTGTCCATGTCGAGTTCACCATCGCTACTGATGCAAACGAGCCACAAAATCCATACACTTTTGCAAAAAATCGATAATAGCTATAAAAGAAAGAAAAAACTTAGATCGCATAAAATCAATCTAATCTATCATGCAATCTTCTTACATGAGTTTGCCTGTACTCCAAATGAAGCTGGAAGCAAGTCTGGCCTCATTGTTGTGTGCAACTTTACGTTCATAAACGCGATTCACCATATCCGAGCTGATAGTTGGGTAATGTGTGTAGGTTGCAATTTTGACGTTTGTAAAGTAATGAACAAGAGGATATGTAAATGCGTAACCCATCGTGTCTTTTATTTGCAAAGATTTTTTCTTAGTTAAAATTCACATTGTGGTAAAATAGGGAAAATTACTTTACCGAAAAACAGGTCAGGCACTAGTTTACTTATGGCTTCATATCCAATCACTAATGATCCGAGACTTTGAAGAATCAAGGTAAACCTGGGATATCTATTTACAAACTGGAAGATTAATAACTTATCTCGTTTTCAGTTCTACGCTTCTTTTTTACAGTGAGTCCTCAACAAGGTATCGTTTTGTCAGATAAATAAATACAAGTCTTGTTGGTTCGAGATCAATGTTGAAGCTATTCTACAGAAAAAAAAAAAAAAAAAAAAAAAAAAGAGAAAACTGTTAAAACAACAAAAACTCTTTCTCGCTTTGGTAAAACACACCTTGACTTTTTCTATAATTTGTTGTTTCGAAGCGTCTGTGTCGCCCGTATAAACAGCACAAATAACATTTGGGAATTCCTTTTGCACATCGCGTATAGCAGTCCAAAGCACACGTTCTCCTCCACCGCCTGCATTACTAAAATAGAATAAATATAAACAAGGTACAGAAAAAGGGGACCAAGATCGAAAAAAAAGAAAGTTTACCAGTAAGGATGAAAGAAGCCTACAAAAGAAGGGTGTTGAATTTGTGCGGCTACAGGTCCCAAGTCCTGCAGAATTTGAACTCGATTCTCATCCATCGTGCTCTTTACGTAAAATTTTAGTGCTGACCATGTCAGCCAGATCGTAATGGCCAGCAGGGTGAGCCAAAATGCTATTGAAAAGTCCATCAAGTGTAAAAAAAAAAAAAAAAAAAGAAAGTTGACACGCTTTTTTAGTTTTGCCTGAATTTTTAATTATTCATGTAACGATGTGATTGGCTGAACTTCTCCTCTCTACCGCTTTCTTTAGGCAATTGCTAGTATGAATCAACGGGTAATCAAATCCAAAAATAGAACCTCACAAAAGGGATAAGCCAGTACTATTTGAAGGTGCGAATAGGAAATGTCAATACTGTGCTTCTACTCACAGCTCCCCTGATGCTTGAAAATACCACCCACTTTTGGACACTTGTGCGAGGTTAAATTGCCCACCTTAAACTAATGTGGCCAAATATGAAAGCAATTGCGAAGACTCTTTATTCAAGAATTTAGTAAATCCATTAATCGAATGCTGAATAAAACTTTGCATGTGTGTAACAAGAGTATCTATCCTTGTTGCAGAGGATTGAAAAGAAAAGAAAAAAATCAAAATATAAACAGACCCTATTCATACCTTTGGTTTCATAGATAAAAGTTAAATTTAGAGTAAAAATAAAGACCACTTACGATACCTGTTTGATTCAGCAACACCATGTATTGCACTGACAGCAACTGAGTTTTTTTTTTTTTTTTTTTTTGAAAAAGACATTTTATTGCCTAAATGATTTTTCATGGATTCTTGTTTCTTTGCTGCTCATTGAAGGATATAACGAAATTAATCCAACTCGTTGCCATACATCGATCTTATAGAACTGGCAGTTGAAAGATATATAAATACATCATTTATTTACTGTTTTTTTTTTCAAGATTAACTATATGTTTAACTGTGTGATTGATTTGATTGTTTGGTTTGTAATAAGGGGCGAACACACAAAAAAAAAACTGAGAGGCCCAATGTTATGGTTGATCAAATCAACTTATTGGGAATTTTTTATTTTATTTTTATCTTTTATTATATGATGTAGAAGCAACATAAAAAGGGCTTCATATTTTTTACTGCAATCTGGCAAGGTTCCTCATTCTTATAAAATGAAAGCGTTTGTCTTATTTCGCTATAGGAAAGTAAAAAATTATTTGGTTTTCTGGCTGCGTATCACCTATAGCCTACCAACAGGCATGATTGAAGTGATAAAAAAAAAAAAAAGTCATATTACGCATACGAATCGATTCAAAATTTGACACAGCGTTAATTGGTAGTATTTGTATGGGAACAAAGTTTAAATCTTTATGAGATAAATGTACGCCTTTCATAGTTGAAGTATTTTTTTTTTTTCATTAAGACTAAAAAGATGAGAGAATACCAATTATAAACGTGCTTCTCTTAGTTCCCAAGCAGGTTAGCCCAGGATAAGGTGCAAAGCAAAACCCTACACATTTAAAAAAATGAGTCCTGACTATTTTTGATTTAAGTGTTAAAGCGGTTAAAACAAGTCTCCCTCCTAATCAAGCAGTTTTATATCAAACTTTATACTACTGTACAGCAACTCTTAACTATTATTTATAACACTTTCTTTATTATTATTTAATATCTATCTACAGTTACTCCTGATAACTTTATGACCTTCAGTATATATCACACTTTTTTTTATAACAATCATTTTTGAAAAGTGTTTTATTAGAACGCTTTTCTTAGGGACAACCAATTTTTCCTTAGGGACCAGAAAACAAGAATATGCAATTTGAAACAATGTGATAATTACGAATAAAAATACTTTTTTTTTTTGACAATTTTATCAGCACTCTTTCGCCTTATAGCTCGTTTAATCTTAATGATACGCAGGAATATTAAGGTAAAGTGTAAAGGAGAAGCTGAGAGTAAGCTATAACACACATATACTGGTTTATACTATGTTGATTGTGGCGAATTTGTATCTAATTTAAGTTGTTAAGTTACATTGACCTTTTGGTGTCATAATCCCAATATTACGACTATGGGCTCCCTGGCTGTCCCTAAGAAACATGACATGATTAGGCAGTTTTTTTTAGGAATTGGGGTATCTGTGTGTAGCTTAACCAAGTGACTTCAAAACCATTTAGATAAGCGGGGAAGAGTATGCTGTTTCTTTATGCTTTAGGTTCTTTTAAATATTTTTTGTCTGACATGGAAGGGTCAAGCGAATGTGATTTTATGTGTGATCGTGCAGACAAAAGAAAGAACGAAATATGTAAGCAATGTATACCTCTGCAAGCCATTATGTCATATACAAACATAATTTATAACGACAGAAGTGAAAGTCGTATCCAATGACTTGGTTTAGAATGTCAGCTGCAACATAATCTTTAAGACACGTCAATTATCCGGCTAACGAGTGTGTTAAATGGAATATGCTGTATCGCGAGGTATGAACGTTAATATTAAGCGTAAAAAAAATCTATGTGACAGTCAGTTTCTCGACATTTGAATATTTCTGTTGGAACAATGAAAAGCATGGAGGCGGAACTGATATCATGTCTGAGTGACTTCGATAATAGCACATGCGAATGATTTGATACGCAAAGAATACAGTATCCGCTCGATTTAAGAGTGATCAAAAATTTCCAAAATCTCCATCTTAAATGGAAAATAGCTTTAAATCGAAAAGCAAGACTATTGTAGACAAACGTCACCAAAGCCAATATTCCCATAAAATATGATCATTACTGCCAAAACATTTCTTTTGCTCGGACATTAAACACATTTGGTCAAAAAGTTTGAAAAAAGACAACAATGCAGTGATATACCGTTCGATTTTAAGGGTATGGTGAAATGGGATCTCACCCTTAAAAAGAATAGTGATTTAGTGGTGTTAATGGTGGGGACTGAAGCTGTTTTTCAAAAATCCACCCTTAAATCGAGCACCGTTAAATCGAGTGGCTACTGTAAAGCACTAGGCTTGGGTATATTTTATTTATTTTTCTATTTCTACTTCTATGTCTATATCCATGTCTACTTCTATGTCTATGTCCATGTCTATTCTTATTTATAAAGCACCAGCATTGATGTATTTACAGAATTTATTATATACATGTAGCACAAGGCTTGAAAATATTTACAGTTTTGATGGTATTTACAGTCTTGAAGGTATTCAAAGGGTTACAGGTGTTTGCAGTCTTAAAGGTATTTACAGTCATGGAGATATTTACAAGTATGACAGTACTTGCAGGGTATATTATGTGATGTATATAACACCAGGCTTTGAGAATTTGGGGGTATTTTTTAAATGTAAAGCGTATAAAGAAAAGAGAGTATGTTTCAAGGAACAACGATGTATGTTACGTGTAAAGGGTATATACCATAAAGGGTATCCTTTTAAAAGGGTATATGGTGGAAAGGGTACATACTAGCACCAAGCTGAAATAATGCCTTTAATGGACATGATCTATCAAAAAAAGTCTATGAGAAGAAAAGAAAAACGCAGCCACGTTGTCATGCTCGATGATTAGATAGATCAGTAAACGTTGCATATGAATTATGCTTTACCCAAACGAGTGGTTTGTACTCCTTAAAATTTTGTCATAAACAAAAATAAAACATAAAAACCTTAAGAGGCTTTTTTAAGACCCCCATATATAAGCGATACGCTTTAATGAGGGCTTGACTACATAATAGAAGAAAGAGTTGAGAATCATTTTTAGATTCTTCAGATATAATGAAGAGCATGACATTTTGTGTTGACTACAGTTTTGTTAAGAGTTTTTTTTTTTTTTTTTTTTTTTTTTTTTTTTGCATCACCAGACAAAACTCCGAAAAGTTAATCCCACTATCTTTCGTGGGTGACTTTTTTGCCCTTTTCTCCTTACTGAAATTAACACAACAAGACACCTCACTTTGCAAAACTAATGCCGTCAGTTTTTAGTTTGGATAATTACAAGACTCTTGTAGACCTTTGTATTAGCACATAAGCAAGGCATGACTTTATTCAGGTCGAAAAAGGCAATGACAAGGAACATGGCAATGTCCACTTTATTCGAAACAGCCATAGAAAATATGGAGGATAATGACAACACATCTTTTGAAGAAGGTAGTTTTAAGGGTATGGTTGTTTATATTTCTTACTGACCCCTTTTCTCAGATTCAGTAACCCTGACTTCATTCCAACTGAGTTTTTGGCTTTACATATGTATTTCATTATATTCTTTTTTTTTTTACGTAAACACTTGACCGAAAAAACCTGTAGATATGGATGATTCATGTTCAACGTTAATCTGGAAACTGAAAACCGTTGCTACCACCCATTTTACGCCGATACGTTTGTAGCTTGGTGTCATCATGCATTGAGAAGGCAACATGATATCAAAAAGTAAGCCAGCTGTACATTCTGTTATACTCTTCACCCAGCCGGCATTGCTGATACAAAAGCTGTTTTGTCTGAAACACCTACTCTGTAGTTGGATCTCATTCTCGATTAACACGATGCAACAAGACGTCTTTTGATGACAACACCAGTAAATGAGCTGCATCCCAAACGATCGTCTTTTTTTTTATTATTCAACTACTTCGACATTTGAAATCCAAAGATTGTATGGATAATACCAAGCAGAGGTCTTAACAAAAAGATTAATCCAGATGCAATGTATGACATTCATGATGAAAGTATATGGAGACAGTGAAGGACAAATTCTATCTTTTATCAACCAATCTGATTAATATTTGATGTTGACTAGTCAGCGTGCACTTTGCTAATGGAAATACGAAACACGAGGAATTTAGTTTGCAAGACTTATGAAACGAATTCTTATTTGCACCCTCTTGTGGATGAATGGATTTTGTTAAAAAATGACGTTCAAAACCAGATAGAAATGGATGAAATTGACACCGTCAAAGGGGCCCATATCATTATCTCCTTCGACCTACCGGCAGCAAGAACAGTGACTGCAAAAAAAAAAAAACTCTTCCAACTCGATAAATGAATTCAACAAATGAACGCATATATTTAAACTATTCCCTAGTCAGCCTTCCCAAGTGGATTTTTACCCCGTGATGACATTTGGGATTACCTTCGATTCAATTACATATTTAAAGAATGGTAATATTTGGAGGATGAGAGCAGTGAACAAAAGATTGATGCCAGTTATAGTCTATCATATCTAGATCTGATCGAGTTTATTGTATGCGACATGTAATACAGCACATTCATTTTCAGCCACCAATACCATGATGAGAGGGATCAGGAAATGGGAAAAAACGTACGAATAGGCGGATTTTGTGCATAAAAAAAAATGGTTAAGTTGAACGAGGGTGTGTCATGGCATGTTTTATACAGTAATAAAAATCATAAAGTGTCTGACGGCAACTCCAGAATTACTGCTCTTGGAGAAAAGCTATATGATCATTTTCTTTCAACATGTGTTTCCCAAAGTAATCTTTATGAAAAATAATACAAAAATAGAGAATATAAAAAAATTTCTTATTGGGAAAGGATGCTCCTGATGTTAAAGAAGTAGGTTCAGGGCATTCACAGCGGAGGTGCTTTCAAATTGAAAACCATGAGTTTTCGCCCAGTTATGCTGCTATTTTTTAACATCCAAATGAGATAAAAAACATTTTGCTGCTGTTGATTACCCTCACACTCTTATATATCATAACGAAAATAACAAAAAAAAAAAAAAAAAAAAAAAAAAATAGTTACATAAACATGCATACAAAATTAAGCGAAAAAAAAGAAAATAAGGTTAAGTCCCTGTTATTCATTTAAACTACTTTTAGAACCGCTGCTGTGGACCACTTCATACATTTAACACCTCAGCTGTAGATGCCCTTGAGGGTCCGTAATAAAAAAAAATTCTTTTCAAATGGACATTCTGCCAGCACATTTCTTAACTAAACAAAACAAAAAAAGATGGCAAAAGCTGAATTTATGTCCTCTAAAGCCATCAGTAATCGTATGCAGTTAAGTTTCGATGGCCACACTTGATCATGTAGAAACAGGACCTGATTTTATTTTTCTGTCTAATCCAAAGGTCTTCAAAAGTCACGATTCGATTGTCAAGCTTTTGAACGTCCATGCAGAGACTAAAACAGTTTTAATCATCAAGTCCGAATCTCACCAACGTCGACTGCTCCTTGTTGCTGCTATTCCAGGTTGCTACGTTCACAACTTTTCAAACGTCTTAATAGGAACTTCTCACTTTACTCTCACGTAGACATGGCATAAAACGCGTGTTTGACAGTGTTATAGCCAATAATTATTTGGCTTGCTGTTACATATGATAAGGTCTTTCCTTTAAAATACTCTTCACCTAAATTTGGGGTCTATCTTGTAATTGATATTATGTGGTATTTCCTCCGCTTTTTGTCGCTGTTTGTTGCCTATTGTAACTTATTCAATCACTACATCTTCTTACATAAACCCGTTGTAAACTCTTTATTCTTTTACATCTAAGAACTATACTCTCTTCTCATCTCGCACTGTCTTATTATCGATTGACATTTATGTGTTATGTCCATATATTTTATCGTCTAATATCACTTCAGGCCTAACCTTAATAAATAATAAAACTAAGCTGTCAACTAAAAGTCTGGTGCCCCTTTTTAAATCAACAGTAAGAATATAAAGCATTGTGATTGGCGGATTATTTTTTGATTTCCCTACAGACCCCCGCTATAAATCCCGAATGACAAGTCACAAATTCAGTCTCATCATTTTCACATGCAAATAAAAAAAAAAAGTCCCAAATTTTTTCCAGAATGTACCACAATTTCATGCAAAAAAGATATAAAAAGGCACATTTTTTTTCATCCAAATTTTTTTTCTCTCTTTAATCAAAAACGGCAGCAATGTCTGATATAGTTGGTCTCGTATTCCCACCTGGTCATTTGCTGGACGATGTGCTGGTTATATTGAGCGGCGTTGTCAGTTTTTTTCCCAGGGCTTGCGCGCGGAGAACTGGGTTTTTTTAATATTATATTAATGAAAATGAAAATGAAAAAAAAAATATTAACTGAAATACTGAAACAACATTCTTTTTTGTTTATCTGTGTTTATGTGCTATTTTGTCACGCGTGTAACATCAATTTAGCGCCATGATCACGATTAATTCATGACGTAATTGTCTGAGTTGTGTGAGTAAATTTTAAGTCTTTTTTTATCATTTTGTGGTGATCGCGTCATCTTTCCCTTCATACAAAAACATTAGTTTTGTACGACATAAGATATCAAGATACTATAACAACCAACACGCCTCCCGAATCCGCGAAGACTCCTCAACCAAACCTGATCCGCATTCGACGTCCAAAGACTAGTCTAACACACTCGAACGACACCGATAAAGACTGCCCATTAGGTGCAGATTCTAAGGAATCTACGACTCATCTCGAGAATAGCCCTGAATCAGCCGCTAATTCCTCCTCAATTCTCGAAACCTCCAACATAACCTGCAAACAAGCAACTAAACGATCTTTTATTGCTTCTACTATTGTTAAGCTGTTCGACAATAATATCACACGACATAAAAAATTCAATATTGTTAGGGATTCTATTGTACTTCAACTCCCTCAAGTTCCACACAATCAAGACAACATGCGAAACAACATGCTTTCCAACAATACCTTGCCCTCAACCAACAAAGATGGTGAAAACGGCCCTGAAACCCCAAAGCAAACTAATCCCAGTGACAAGGACGATTCCGACATGGAGATCAACTTTCAATTTGCTGACACCTCCAAAAGCTTCTCATCTCAAAGTAGCCTACCCGAGAATCCTTCCAGCAACACTTCAATGAGTAATGAAACACCAAGATGGGCTTATGACTTGCAAGCTCAAATGAACCGAATTGTTGCTCTTTTCGAAACCTCGGCTAAAGAAAACGTGAAGCTCCGCCAGGAACTCAATTTTTCTAACGCTCGTATACAGCTTTGTGTTCGAACCTTTCGAGCTTGCACCGATCTTCCGCCAGTTCGAACGAAGCTCGAACCGAGTTTTTGTTCTTGAGCTTGTGCCACTTTTTTTGGGTTCGAGCGAGCTTCGATCGATGCTCGCTCGAAGCCCGCTCGGCTAAAATGTCGATAGTAGTCACTTTAAAGTTAAGGTCATTGAAAGACTACAGATGGCATTTCCCCTTGATTTTAATCTTTTATTCCCTTTACCATTTTTTTTTATTTATGATCTAATAATTCCAATTAAAATGCTTTGGACTTTTATTTAATTGTACAACCAACAAACACATTTACCATAGAAAATGAAACAGTGTTACACACTATACCCAACTAAGCCAATTTTTTACATCAACCATAGTAACATGACGTAGCAGAATTAATTTAAACTTTCATGTTCACAAATCCAAATGTATTATAATTATAGATGCAGTAATAGTTTGATTTAATTATCCGAATTTGGTGTTAAGGCTGGTGAAAGAAAAAGTTTTCTTTTTCTTTTTCCAACTTCTATTTCAATAAATAACAATTTTATTATCATAATTGTCTGTAATTAACATCACTTTGACGTGCACTTTGTGTAATAAAAAGGGCAAGTGAGTTCGAGCTATCGTATTCGCAACCGAGCCGAGCTTAACAAACTTCGAGCGAGCTCGAGCTGCAAAAAAACGCATCCGAGCGAGCTTCGACTGGAACACGATCGAAGCTCGCTCGAGAGTTTCGATCTTCATTCCGAACACTAATACAGATACTAGAGCAGAAACTCTCAGGCACCCGAAGTGCTGGAGATTTTGGTTTTACGGTACCCGACACTTTCCTTCGGGAACTCGGAAGTAATGCTTCCAAATTTTCAGATAATAACACAACGAGCAATACTGACACTCGTAACAAGGCTTCAAATAGAAGTTCCGAGAAATAAAGGACTAAAGCTCCTTCTGACAATAAAACGTCTAATAAGAATGGCCTCCCTAAGACATCTTTTGCAGACATAGCTAAAAAGCTGTCCTCTTCTGACACTAACCGTAAGCAACCTACGCCTAAACAACGTAAAGCAGCGGCCCGTATTTTTGAAACTCTTGCTGAACAAACATCTACCGATATTTTCCGCTACTTATACTTGCCGAACAAATATCGCATTCGCATTAAGGATTTTTGCCAAAAGCTCCGAACCATAGGTTTAGACAATGGTAGCATACTCGATATTCATTATCCTGCATGCGGCGTAGTGGCAATCCTGATCCACCATAACTACCTAACTGAACTGAACGCTGTTTTAGTGAAGTCTGACATTGCACCTATCACACAATTTAACCCAACCGCAGCTGACTATGTCAATGACCCGTCTTTGACACACCTCACTAAGGGAGAACAAACAACTAAGGCTATTGAATTTCATCAAACACGACTCATCAGAGGCTTGAAATTTATTAGAAGCTACCTTCGCAGATCAGTAGCACAATGGTTTGTATATCAGGGATGAATCACTGAAGACCAAGCACAACAGGAGCTATTAGTGACTAGCATGGGTAATGAATACCATGGTTCACCTAAAAACACATACGAGACGTGTTGTGATCGAGTTTATACACAGATATAACTCTATCATCAATTCTTTCTTTCTTATTTGATAACCTCTCTATAAATCATTATTGCATTACTCTTTAAACTAAATACATGCTATTACACTCTATTTACGACGCATTGATTACTCATCCATATATAGAAAACAATAGTCATACATTTATTCCAGATACACTATGGCGGATTTGTTGTTCGTTGTAAACAACTTTGTTGACAGAATTAACAACTGTTGTTGAGTTTGTCAACAAAGTTGTTGACCATTTGTTTTTATAAAAAAGAATTGTTGCTGGCCAGCAACTTTGGTGAATTATTCAACAAGTGTTGATTGCAGATTTGTTTATCAATTCTGGTGTCACGATTTTTCTATTCTCAACCAGACGTTTGAGATTCATTCACGTCATTTTGTCCATGTTTATTTTTATTTTTATTTCTATTTCTGTATTTCTTAAAGGTTACTCGCATTCCTCCATCTTCGAGTATAGCAATTCCCAAATAATGTGACGCTATATGACTGTGCAATAATTTTCAGCCTTGGTGTATTGGACATGGCCAACGTTACAAACGATATCTTTGAAGCGACAAACAACATTCTTATGTTGACCAGAGCGACGTAAGACCACCTTTGGCATGAGCCTGTTGTATTCTACCACGCCATGTAATTCAGCCACATCAATTGAGACAAGAAAATCATTCACGCTATCAAATGTCGTCTTAAAAAAGAAGGTGTTGGAACCGACATAAAGTAGACTCGTTAAAATGTTGTAGGGACTATAAAGGTTCAAAAAAAATTGTCTGTACAACTAAATAATGACGATAAGCAACCAATCTTACTTTAGGTGGGATGCAGCAAACAAAACATAGTTATTGCCTCTTTTGGGCTCGTTGATATGATCTTTGAAAAAGAGAAGGTATACACAGTATCATTAAACCAGGTCCGACGGCGCCTTTACTACACCATTACTTGTGTTGACAAGCTCGTGGGAACCGGAATATGTTCTGCGGTAGTACCGTTGTAAAGCAGAGATAAGTTGTCGGATTTTAGGTCACTAAACCAAATAAAACTGGCTTAAGCCCAATATTTATTTTTTACATTTTCTTCCTTTCTTTCTTCTTAAACTCAATTAAAAAAAAAATACTAAGGATATATGGTAACTTTATTTCCCAATGTAATATGTGTGTCTATTAACGATGTTGGCTTTGTTTTTAGCTTCAAGAGGACCTTCTATTAATAAACCCAACGTGTTTCCATCGCTCTTTGCTTATATGTAAGGTACTCAACTTCCAATTTGAAGCGTCCTGTTTTGCGTTTTCGTTATCCACATAACTAACAACGCTTCTCATTCAGTAGTCTAGAAGTAATTTTTGCTCTTTATGTAGGCTACTACTATACTCCTTTATCTCTTTTAAAAAAAGGAAGTCGCACTTTGGATAAAGCTGTAAGTTTTCTCATATACTTTTTAAATCAAAAGACTAATGCGGACCACCTCAATTATTTTTCTAAATTAGAACACTCTTTATTTAAAGATGTTATGGTATGTCTTTTGGACTTATATATCTTTTTAATAATCGCTCACATACCTGTTTATCATTTTTTAGGACTAACGGTACGCCTGTTTTATGATGTACGGTCAAAGTAAGGTTGAGATTACTCTAAATCGCTTCTTCGTGTTTCTAATTTTGTTTTTTAGAGGATCAATACATTCATATGAAGCACTCTTTCTTGGTTTTATGTTTCGTTCGATGTCGGGTGCAAAAGACTGTAAACTTATTTAAATGTGTATTAGTGCCCTATTTATGGTTATGCCGTCTTTAAGAACGAATGTCGAAAAAGACTCTTTTCCTTATCATCATAAGAGATATTTCTGCTTCTCCATAGCCATTGTATATACGATAATAAAATCTGTTTAATAATTTATCTTGTACTTTATATAAAATGATGACTGAATGATAATAAATCTAAAAACCATTGGTTGTTATATACCGTTTTAGGAATGAAAATATGAAAAAGCGAAACAACATTGGTTTGAAACGCCAACAAAGTTGTTGGACTTTCCAACAAGTATTGTTTATAAATCAAACAAAGTTGTTGAAAGGTTTAACAAGAATTGTTTGTAAGATCAATAAAGTTGTTGAAAGGTTCAACAAGACTTGTATGTAAAATCAACAAAGTTATTACATAGTTCAACAAGACTTGTTTGTAAAATCAACAAATTTGTTTGCAAAAGCAACAAAGTTACATCCAACAAGTTTCTTAAAATAATCAACAAGACTTTTTGATTTTGTCAACAAACTTGTTGGTAAACAAATCGATGCCAGCTATTTCTCAAACAACTATTTGGCAGTAGCGCTTGTTGATTTTGTCAACAAATTTGTTGGAATCGTCAACAAATTTTCCGCCATAGTGATAATACAATCCAATGATATGATCGCTCGTCAATAACAAGATTCTCGAAGGCACCATCAGATGCTCGATCTTTAATTGACAATACGCCTATTGTATATTTGACAGGTTTCATTCTTATGATTGATATTCAGCCATCTCTGAATATGTATATAAAGAACCCAATTTATTGTATAATAAAGACAGTAGTTAATTTTTGCAGTTTGATAATTTTACTTCGTCAAATGTCGTATTTCTATTCTTAATTCGTTGTTTTATCTCTCGAATTTCTCAAGACAAATAATTCAGACACAGCAAAGCGACCCCGGTCAGAATTTAGTACAAGAGACTATACTCAAGTACCTCAACATACTGATGAAAAAATGGATATTGAAGAAGAAACATGTAATAACTTCTTGCCTGCTGCCGATCGACCAGCCTTCCGTCAATAAATGAGTACATTCATTGATACCACTAACCCTATGCCTACTTATGAAACTCCTATGCCTACTGACAACTCTATGCTTACTACTATACCTATGCCTTTGACTACTAACCAAATCAGTCAGCCTAACACCGCTCACAATCAATTGACACCAACTACATTTTAATCCAATAAATTAAAAATCGGATCCATCAACTGTCGTAGCTTAGCCTCAACATCAGATCCAAATACTCGACGGAAATTCACCCGCTATCTTGGATCCCTAAAATACGATATACTCAACTTTCAAGAAGTCCGAACTGAAGACAGCAATGTAATAGATTCCTTAATTATGGAATTACAAGCTAAAGATTCAACTTGGACACAACACGTCGGTATAGTCAGCCTCAATCCAAACATTCGAATCACACCCATTTTCATCGCCGTCAGTAAGCATGCAGTTTTTGTTAAAGTCCATCTCATCAATCATCACTTTGAGCCGATCTTTTTACTCAACCTGTATGCTCCTAGCCAGTCGGGACCCAAGAAACAGTTTTATAGTTATGTTATAGAACTGCCTCTATTCAAAGATGAAATAGATATAGCACATTATACTAAGTATTCTAACTTCTTAATCGTCGGTGATTTTAACTATCATCATTACTCCTCAAATCGATCTTCGAATTCACCCACTCCCCACCCTATAGCGTCATTTAAACGGATCCTCAGTCAACAACTTTATGACTGCATCAATTCAGATGATATAAGTGAAGTATTCTCTGTTGACAACCCACAAATAACATTCAGTCGGGGAAATTCACGCACAACCATTGATTACATTTTTGAGTCTCCTGCAATCAAAAGCAGTATCACCGCATCTGGGGTAGAATTTATCAACACTAACTGGACAGATCACGCTCTGCTATCCATTGACCTAATCATGGTGAGCAGAAAAACACGGTAAAGGTATATATCGAGCGAACCCGGAACTGGTCAAGAACAAACGTTTCTTCGAACAATTATCTACACTACTACAAGATTTGAACCCTTCTACAACCCACGGCCCTCTTAATTCCCCTCAGAAGGAATGGGACGCTATGAAAAGAAAGGTAAGAAAGCTCTGTCAGCGCTTTAGCTGACACTACTGTCAATGGCGCAAAAAACAAATCGCTAGACTGCAAACTGGACGTTCCATACTTATCGTTAAACATGCGGGCTGTCATGCCATCCTTAACCAAACCCTACCAGCCGTTGAACAACAGTTGGGAATATTACAAAAGGAAGTGGCCGAAATCGACGCAATTTGGGCTGGTAAACACTGGAGTGAAAAAGGAGAAATTTCAGCTGGATACCTCAAGCGTACGATATCCCAACAGGAACAACAACGTAGCATGAAAGCAGTACACCATTCGATATCCGGTGAGCTATGCCATAATGACAAAGACATTCATGAGTCCGTTAGAATTTACTACCAAGATTTGTTTAACCCGGATCTGATCAATCACTCATCTGTTAGTGCTATCTTATCTCACATTACTGAAGATTGCAAAATAACCAAAGATACTGCTGCAGGGTTACTCCTTCCAATCACGATAAAGGAAATTCTAGAAGGTACCAAACGATCTCCTGCGAAAAGCAGCCCGGGATTCGACTCTATACCCTACGAAATTGTAAAACGTATCTTTGCTGACCCTTATTTTAACAACCTTTGTGTCATTATCTTCAATGAAGCTCTGACAAAATAAATTCTTCCGGACAGTTGGTTGAAAACATCGATGATCCTGCTACCCAAGAAAATTATCTCACTCAACTAAGATGTTGGCGGCCAGTTGTGCTCATTAACACGGATAGCAAAATATCTACTCGATTAATCAATTCGCGCCTGATGGACTCAGCAGACGACATCCTTAGCCCACAACAACTAGATTTTATGCCAGAAGGTTTTATTGGTGATCATGGACTTACCCTTCAACTAGCCGTTGAACACGTCAAACATCAGATTATTCCGGATAATGAGAGCTACAACTGTAATGGACTTCTACTCGGTCAAGAAAAAGGATACGTTAGGGTATTACCAGACTATTTACGCGCCACC